GTTTACCTCTTCTCTATGCAATACTTCCCCTGCTCATTTCTGCACACCAAAATGCTGTTAGAAGCACAAAAGTGGGCCAAGCCTTTCAGCCCCAGGTCAGTTGGTAAGCATAGCCTTAGGCCAGCTCTTGACTTAGGCCAGGCATAGGCAAACTCGGCCCTCCAGATGTTTTGAGACTACAGTTCCCATCATCCCTGACCACTGGTCCTGCTAGCTAGGGATCATGGGAGTCGTAGGCCAAAAACATCTGGAGGGCCGAGTTTGCCTATGCCTGACTTAGGCTGACCAAAGCTATACAATTATGTAATCCAAGAAGCATGGGCTTAATTGATTTATGAATCACAGCGCTTTAAATTCTCTTCCAAGGAAGACTGACTTGCTTTCATGATGACCTTCAGCCGGTGCAGAATTGTTCTGCAGATTCCACACTGGGCTTCTCTGTGTTCTCTATTTAAACAATCCAGGCAAACACTTCGGTATTTGCTTTTCACATTCCAGCACTAATTGTGTGGGGGGGGGGGTACTGTGGTTAGTTTCCATTATATGCAATGCTTTCTTTTTATTTAAAAGAGGTGTCAAATGGAGAAGGTCAAAGGATAATCACAAATTGTATATATCGTTAGGATGTATAGACAAGGCAATAAATTCTGGGTTTCTTCTTTACCAGAGTGCAAAGGAAGACCATGCAGAAGGTAAAAGATGACGATGGATTTGGTCCCTCTCTCCTTGATAGATGCTACCAATTTCACCCTTGTCCCCTTGTCACTTCCGTGGCAACTATGTTGAGGTTTAATGTGTCCACCCACAGATGCAACCTGCAACAATTGTTTCAGTTCTGCCACTTAAATACTGCCTTGGAGGATTGTACAATCTGCTGGTATGCCCCAAAGCTGCATGAATTTGCCTGACTTGCAATGCTCCTGCCAAGGGAGTAGGAGACCTGACTGGCCAGCTTGGCATCTGGCAGGTGGGGCTAGCCACATGCACTGAAAGACAGAAAAGGGCTGAAGCTTTCTTAGTAGCGGCAGTCAGGCTGTGAGAAATCTGACACATTCTTCAGTAACATGTTCACTATTTATATCTGTTAGGTATTGCAGTTCCTCACTGCAATAAAGTATTTGTGGCTGGTGTTTCTGACAGGCTCTTGTATTCTGGTTTTATTTTTTATCCACAGTTTTGTGGATCAGGGATTGAGATTATTATTATTTTTTAAATTGAGATTGTTGTTCACCTTGGGAGCATTGTTGTGAAGTCAAGGGGTGAGCTAACAAATATTGCCATAAATAGATGCCATAAAAGATGGGTTTCATAATAGTAAAATGCACAGCTGAAGCCATCCTAGTAATTCATTTGCCAATATTCCTTCTGGCATATTACTTCAAAACAATGTACCCTCCCTCCTCCAATTCCTTTTAGTCTCTAGTCTGTTGTTTTGAAGGACAAACATTGGTTAACTGCCATTTCCTCCCCTCCCCCCCCCCGACAATCTGTCAAGTTGTCCTCTTTTTGAGTGAGAAACTTTACACAGCACATTAAATCTTGACTCCTCTGATGCTTCTCTAATATCTTGGAATACATAAACACTGAGGAGGAGTGCTTGGTAGCTTTCTGGAGAGCAGCACACAATGTACTGTTTTGTATGCTGTCATTTAAATTAGGCCATCCTCTAAGAATGGGGTTATAGCTGAATTCACATCTGGAATTTATATCCAAGGGCTTGGCATGAGCCCCACTGCTCGCTTCTTAAATCCACCGATAAGACCCCATGGCTGCAAAGTTCTTGAAATAAGTGACATGCTTTGCTGTTGCACCATAGTTTAAATGAAATGCCAAATGTCTCACAGGGATAGAAAACTTAATTTGCTTTTAAAGCATCAAGAGTCCACCAGACGAAACACATTAAAGGAAGGGGAGTCTTGGAGCCCATCCGTTCAAGATGTTTAAAACTTGTTCACACAATTACCATTTCGGCTTGTGACGTGACTGAAATGAAATTCACTGAAGGACAAAGAAAACGAGCTTCGTTAGCTGATGCCTGGCATTTTCCAAACTATTCAGATCTGAGAAACCCCCAAAGGGCAGGCACCACACCCCCAAAGGGCAGGCAATAGAGTGCTTGGTCCTCACCCCACTGAGGGAGAAAGAAGCTGTGGGGACAGAATCAGGGAAAGTAGCAAATAGAAAGGCAAAGTACAGTGGAATCTCAGTTCTTGAACGTCTCCACTGATGAACATTTCGGAACCCAAATGCCGAAAACCCAGAAGTAATTGCTTCCATTTTTTAACATGCCTCAGAAGTTGAACGGCTTCCACTGCGTGTTTTTCAATTTTCTCAATTGAATTTACCAACAGCCCTTTGTGCCTCAGTTTTCTAACGGAAGTCGAACGGTCTTCCAGAACAGATTATGTTCGAGAACTGAGGTTCCACTGTACCCTCTTTCCTCTTCACATTTCTCCACTGCTTCTTCTTTAGAGTTGTTGTTGTGTGGCGACTCTGGTTCCTACACCCAGACTGGCTACCAATTGTTGACTTGGCTCCTCACTCAGTTCTAATTATGGGTTCAGGTTCCACTGTCCTGCTGGCCAGAGGAGAGCTGAGGCTTGTACACCCCACTTCCCATTGCCAAGCAAAAGAGTGGCATTCAAGGAGATAGATTAAAACAACAACAGGGAAATGGTGCCTGGGTTTTCCATATGCCGTTTCTTTTGATTTGATCACTTCTGTTTTATTGATTGGGATTCTGATTGTTTTTTTGTTTGCTCTTACATCTGTAATTCACTTTGAACAACTGCTTTGTGGCATGAAGAAGCAGTGTGCCATGTTAAATACCGGTAGATATATAAATATTCTCCAGAGCTCTAAGCAGGGCTTTTTTTCAGCTGCAACTCGCCGGAACTGAGTTCTGGCACCTCTCAGGTAGAAGCCATTGCCATTCTACAAGAACAAGGGAGGTGTTCATGCTGAGTTCTGGCACCTCTTTTCTTAGAAAAATAGCACAGTGAAATATACTCAGAGTCACAAAGTGATTTCATGCTCTTTATTCAGCTCATAGTGGTGAGGAGGAATGAATGAATGTCCCCTCAAAGTATCTGCTTTATATACATTATTTACACAATGGGCTGCACATGATTGGCTAATTCTGGAATTCTACTGTAAGCCAATCAGGTTGTGGATTCACTTCTATCTGGAGCATGATTGGGTGGTTCCTGCCAACCAATCATACTGCTGCATTGTTCTAGGACCAATCAGACTGCTGCATTCTGAATCCTATTGTTCTAGGACCAATCAGAATGCTGCATTTTAGATCCTATTGTTCTAGGACCAATCAGACTGCTGCAGTTTGGATCCTATTCAACTCAGTACATAACACACAGGCTTCTAAGAAAGCAGCAATGGCTACAGAAAATGTCACTTGCCAGTTGAGGGTGGGCAATATTGCTAAGCTTTACCTTATGGGTCAAGTCCTATTGCCCTCTTTACTAAAACGTCCTTTAAAAAAATATTTATGATTTTCAGTTATATATATTTTAATAGTTTTACAATCATTCTAACATTTCAAAACTCGACTTCCTACTCCTCTTTCTGCGGTTCCTTAATTTTTTATTTTTACATTTCCTGCATATTCTCAATTTATTCTTTTTTTAATCTACTTTAAATATATACTCTTATGAAACTGCAGGTTATTGCAATAATCCTGCCAATGTTCTTATCTGTTTACAGTTTGTAAATATTCCTTTACAGTGGTACCTCGGAAGTCAAACAGAAACCAAGGCACAGCTTCCGATTGGCTGCAGGAAACTCCTGGAGCCAATTGAAAGTCGCACCAAATGTTTGGGTTCCAAAGAACATTTGCAAACCAGAACACTCACTTCTGGGTTTGCGGCGTTCAGGAGCCAAAACGTTAGACTCGCAAGGCATTCTGGATCCAACGTACGACTGTACTAAACTGTGCTGGCTACTGTAGGAGTGAGATATCTCACAAATCCCAGTTTCCTTGCATCATAGTTGAGGAATTACTGTGTGCTGGTTGCCATATTGAGACAATGAAAGGTTTTCTCTGCCATGGATTAAATTATTAGTGATTGATTCTGTGATTCCCCTCCATGTGGCTTGTTTCTTGGGATTTTGGCCATCATGGAGGGATTTTTTTATATATATTTTTAATATGGCCAAGCTAACTGTACCATTCTGGAACAAGTGGAGTTGTAGCTAGCAGCCCAACACTGGCCTCACTTCCTTCAGAATTCCTTAGGCTGAGAAAGCACTGCAGAACACTATTCAAAATCCCATTTCAAATTTATATATTTTCAAAAGGCTTGAGAATTGAGAGTTTATCGAACCTGTCCCAAAGGTATTTGCCACAGTGGATATTTGCCAGCTTAACAAGCAAGCAAGCATGATGCCAAGGTATGGGCTTCACAAGACTTAGAAAGCACTTCTTAATTAAATATCATGCTTGTCTGACAAGAAATGTAGCTATTTCACCTCTCTGAGCAATAAGGCAAGGCATTGTGAAGCTTATTCGCCACTCCCCTCAAGAATGCAGCAAGCACGTTCCTTGATACTCAATTATATGCAAAACTTTTTCAAGCAATCCAAGTGGTAAATCTAATCTTGAGGTAATAAAAGCATGGATAACTAATTTCAGGGTCTGACAGAGAGAGAAATGAATTCAGCTCTACCATTGTGGCTGTAACTGCTTAAAAATGTTCAGATTACAAGCGGCAATTCCCCTTCTCTCCCAGCCCCCTTCTCTACTCAAATTACTGCAGGACTGAGTCATCTAAGTATTGAAACCTGAACTATGAAGAAAATCAGTTGAATTAAAGAGAACCATCAATAAGCAAGGTATGACAAGCATTCCATATTATGTAAGCCCCCCCCCTTTTTTTTTGCCATAGTACTTGTCATAGCGAGCAACTTAAATTGGTTTGGAAATGAATTGATTGCATCAAGGAATGAAGAGTTAAACTAACAAACATTTAGGTTGAGTTTTTTTAAAAGGTATGTATTATTTGTTTCATAACATTTAATACAAAAGACAAAACAATATAAACAAGAAAAAATTATACCGATGCTTAAAAACATACAAAAGTTAAAATAACCTTGAATGTTGTGATACTGTTTTGAATTTGAAAACCTTAAGACATGCATAAGAATTCATCTTCATAAACGTATTATTTGCATTAATAGCAAAAAGTCTATGAATAGCGTTGGGGAGGGGATAATGCGCTAAAGATGAACTCAATGAAAAATGCAGAGATGCTGTAAATAACCAATGACAAGGGCTCAAGGATGTTGATAATATTCAGCATGATTATACAGAGCCTTGGAAGCATGAATAGAACACAGTGAGCATACAAATCCAACGTCTGAAGCTCAGATTTGTAGGGGCGCTGAGTAGCTTATTTTATTTCCTTGTCTCCATTTGAAAGCTGGAACTTGAGTTGGTCGCTTGAAAGTGATGGAGCCATTTTCTCCATGTCAAATGCAGACAAAGTGGAATGTTTGGTATACCTTACTTATTGGCGGCTTTTTGCTTCTTTCAAACCATTGTCTTTCCATTTGCATCTCACTGTTGTTGGACTGCATAATAATTGTTCTCTGAAAGGTTGATGGGAAGGTGCTGATAGTTTTTAGCAGGTCAGGCTCAAACACTGAGCCCTTTTCCACCATGATTCTGACAAATAGGAATAATACATGGGTACTGCATGTACTGCGTGGGACACGGATGGCGCTGTGGGTTAAACCACAGAGCCTAGGGCTTGCCGATCAGAAGGTTGGTGGTTCGAATCCCCACGACAGAGTGAGCTCCAATTGCTCGGTCCCAGCTCCTGCCAACCTAGCAGTTCAAAAGCACGAAGTGCAAGTAGATAAATAGGTACCGCTCCGGCGGGAAGGTGAACGCCGTTTCCATGTGCTGCTCTAGTTCGCCAGAAGCAGCTTAGTCATGCTGGCCACATGACCCGGAAGCTGTACGCCAGCTCCCTCGGCCAATAAAGCAAGATGAGTGCCGCAACCCCAGAGTCATCTGCGACTGGACCTAACAGTCAGGGGTCCCTTTACCTTTTTACTGCATGCCAGCATAATGGAGCAGTTCATAACTTTTCCATGTTCGGCGTTTGCAAAGTTTGATGAAAGAGGAATAATTCGGGGGGGGGGGGAGTCAACTGATCTCATGTAGGTAAACATACTAAAGTCTTCAAGTCTCACTTTATCTGGAATTTATATGGAATTTCCCTCTGCTTGTTTTTCAGCAAAAGCAGGTTTTATTCCACTGTGCTTGATGACGTCTGCTCTCAACAAGCTTTAGAAAATTATGTGCACTTTTCAGAAAATGCTGTATTGATGCAAGTTAAGGTCATGTCTTACACCAAACAGATATATAAACAACCTTGACTTGGCTGTCTGTGCATCCTATGTAAATTATGTAAATAAATTCTAAAGCCGAAGGCACTTGTTTTTGTGTGCTGCCTTGACTGTACAGAGACAAACGATCAAGAATAACCTCTGTTCTTTATATACAGGGCATCTTTCCATAGTTGACTTAGACCGCTATCTTGACAGAGAGTCCAAAAGATTATGTAAGGAAAACAAAGCAAGGGAAGCAGCCTCCAACAAAGCAACCATTTGTGAAGTAAGGACACTTTCCTCGCCAAGAAAATCTATTTATTACTTGCTGCTTTTTCTCCAGGGAATGCTGAATGACACACTGAGGAGTAAATTCAAGTGGATTCCACTGCCCCACTCCTTATTTTTCCACATTAAAAACTTATTCAAAAGGAAATGGGTACCAAAAGACTAGACACAATGACAACCTCCAATCAAGGCAATTAAAGTAAAACGTAGTTCAACAGAAATGCCAAATGTAGAATGAAGTGCACTTATTTGAGGTTTGAGAAGGTTGTAACAAATTGAGTAAGGACGACTAAGGTATATAAAAGCAATTTGTTGGGAAGTCCTGAGCTGATGTGTTAACTTTTCTATGTGCCACGCATTTGGTACCAAAATTCAATGGTGAGATAGTCTGTGTTTTGTAAAGTTTTGGCTACTTCTCATCAAGGTTCCACAAATGAGAATATGACAAGTTCTTTGTGTACTGTCAAATAAGGGTTAATTTTGCATCTGCAGACAACCAGTTTCAGGACTGTTGATACTTCAACAAAAGCTTTCTGCCATACCTTTTTCTACTGCTTTCATCCCAACCACAAATGGAAAAAAATGAAGATAATGACTTTGATCTCGAGCCTTTTATAGAGGATGGGGTGGGCTCAGATGCAACACCAAACCAGTTTGGCATTGTGTGTATGAAACGGCTCTAATGTTAGAATTCCTGCTCCATGATTGCAGTCATGGGATTGTTGTCTTTCACATGACGTGGTATGTTTTGACTCCACAAAGTGGGAAGTGACGGAGACAGGATGTTTGTGTTACTGTGTTTCGTGAAATGGGATTATTGTCCTTTGTTCTTTTTCTCTTTGCTGTCTGATGCTAGACAGGGAGCCAAGCTGCGGTGCTCCGTGTGTGTTTATACATAAATAAAGTAGATTAGCCAAAATGCTGAGTTGCTGAGGTCTGTTATGCAACTGCGCAAACTCTGCAGATCCCTAAGTGTGCTGGTGTCGGTTGGCATCAGTCGCTGTGATGTTCAGGCAGAAGAAAGCTTTTGAAGCTCCCGAATGACCAGGAGGGAGAGAACATGCCAGTCGGGCATGTGTCTCTGCCAGGTTCCTATTGAATGTAGGCTGAGCTCCTGACACGTCTGTGATAGATCACTGGCTCCCCCTAAAGCAGCTCAACAACTTTGGCTCCTCTTAGAAAGCTCAACATTTTTGCCCTGCACCCCCAAAAATGGGGCTTTCCTCCTCCCTTTAAAAAGCTCAACTACTTTGGCCTGAACCCCCCAAAAGTGGGTAGATCACTGCCAGTTTTTAACTCTTTGAGTAGATCAGTGTCTCTTGGGAGTTGGCCACCCCTGCTGTATATCAATGCCTGATAGCATTTGTAGTTCCTCAGCTTCTTAAAGCAAGGGAGGGGGGCTTTCCCCCCTAAGCAAAGGCAGCATGTATATGGTGCAGTGACTTTTCTGTGATGCTCTCCCCCCCAAAAAGACTGTGGGGTGTTCTTTATTCAGTAATTCACATTATCTTTTAGCCTTTAGGAAGCAACATCATTCTTAACCAGGGATTTTTGGCTGTATTTCAAGTTGGCTTTATGTGGAGTTTATATTGTTGGACAGCGCCAAGCGGGAGGAAATGTGTGACATTAAACTAATAAATTGGCTTTCAATTAAAGTTCAAGCACTGCAACTTTGTATCTTCAAGATCTACAGCACTCTTGTTTAGAGCTAAACTGGCTGTGCTTGGATGTAATCGTTATCAAAATGGCAAACACTTAGGGCTGGCTATTAGTTACTAGTTTACCTTGAAAAGATCAATATGGTATAGCAGAGGAAAAAAGAATGTCTTGGAACGAACTCGCCAATGAGCAAAGCATAATAAATACTCCCAATATCTCATGCAGCTCTCCCTTACATTACTTTTGGCATCATTAAAAATAGTCACTGAACCTTTCGCCTGAAACTATAAAAATATTCCCCCACTGTGTCTCAGCTCCATTCTACCCCCCACACCCCTTTTCAGAATGTGTGCACACGGGAATGCACATGTAGATTGTGTGCAAGTGGAGATTCCCCTGTACCTGGTTAAAACTTGTGTTGTTTCATCATTTAGCAGTTTTAACTATCATTTTTAAGGCTTAACATTTAGGCAGTAGAACTTTGATAAAGCTTTTTTAAAAATCATGAGTCATTCATTGCCCTGCTAATTATTTTTTTTGTAAGCTGGGGAAAACTGAAAACAAATTTAAATAAAAAATAATTTAAGAAAATCTGAATATACCAATGGGGAAAAGATACAAAGTTGCATTTTGAAGCAGATATAATACACTAAATCATTTATTCTTCATTTTTTAAAAAAGGTTCAGTAAAAACATAAGGCACATGAAATGTCAGTCTTTTTTATTAGCAAGAAACCTGAGTTTGCTTATTGTTGCACAGCTTTTCAAATATTGGCACCAATATTTACTGCTACCCTTATTTCTTTCTCCACATCCAATCCTGAGCTGTATTTGCATTTTATGACAGCCATGGCTGGAAACCCAGACTTGCATAGATGGGATGTTGCAAAATTAATCATTATCTTCAGTGCTTTGTTACTCAATGTTGGGAACTCCTGTTTTACTGAAGTCCAAAATTTTGGCACTAGCGTGTCTATAAGCTTTGCTTTTAGTGAAGCAGCTGATGAAAGTTGTATCAGTTCCTCCTCTTCTACAGTATTAAATATGTAGGAGGAACAGTACCAAAGGGATCTTGAATCCACTGAAACCTGTCACCATTTTCAAAAAAGTACTTATCAAAATGGGCACTGAGATGAGCTAAATGTCCACTAATTACTGAAATAGTATCTCTCTTGCTGTAGAACTGGGAAGCAGTCCATTCCTCCGCCTTCAGCTTTTCTCTTCCAAAGAAGTAGTTTATTTTCAAAGGCCGAAACTTTACAAGTGAGTCTAAGCAAATGAGTTTCGCTCCCTTATGAAGACTTATTGAACAAGTTCAGCTTTTTGAAAATATCAGAGAGATAGCCAACTTTTAGCAAGAAGTCCGCCTCCAGAAAACACTTAGCACTGGCATGGTTTTCTTGGTCAAGGTAAGAATAGAGTTCTTGAGTAAGTTCAAGAACAAGAGTTAATACATTTCCTCAGGAAAGCCATCAAGTACGACTGTAAAATAGAAGAGCCGTATGGTCAGTGCCCATCTCAACACATTTTATAGACAAATCTACCTTTCTGAGGTTGAGTTTGGATGAAGTTAACCACATCTAGCACTGTTTGCAGGACTTTGTTCAAATCAGCACTCAAATGCTGAGAAGCAAGTTCTTCCTTATGGTTAGTATGATGTGTATAAACTGCATCAGGGGCTCTGCTGAGAATGAGTGCTTTTAAGCCATTGTAACTGCCTGCCATGGAATGAGCACCATCAGTGCGCACACCGACACAATGAGCGCAGATTATTTTATTTACAGCCATGAAGTTGTCCACAATTCCAAACAAATCTTTGCCTGCTACTCCTACATTTATGTCCTTACAAAGAAATATCTTCCACCATTTCATTTAGTTGATCATCAAACCATACATAACAGGTTAGATGAGCATCTCTATCAATGGACACATCAAACTGCAAACCAAAGTCCTTCCTCCTCATTTTTTCTTAAAGCTGCTCATTAAGACCCTCTCCTAAATCTTGAATTTGGTGGCCGATTGCATTGTCAGAGGACACTCCAACCATAGTAGACACCATATCAATAGTGTTCTTCTGCTACTGTATTGGTTTCTTACATTTTGCAACCCGGTAGATTACTTTATGGGACGCGGGTGGTGCTGTGGGTTAAACCACAGAGCCTAGGACTTGCCAATCAGAAGGTTGGCAGTTCAAATCCCCACGATGGGGTGAGCTCCCATTGCTCAGTCCCTGCTACTGCCAACCTAGCAGTTCGAAAGCACATCAAAGTGCAAGTAGATAAATAGGTACCGTTCCGGCGGGAAGGTAAACGGCGTTTCCGGGCGCTGCTCTGGTTCGCCAGAAGTGGCTTAGTCATGCTGGCCACATGACCCAGAAGCTGTACGACGCCTCTCTTGGCCAATAAAGCGAGATGAGCGCCGCAACCCGAGTCGGTCACGACTGGACCTAATGATCAGGGGTCCCCTTACCTAGATTACTTTATAGCATGCTAAACGAGCTTTACTCAAGGATGGTAACCTGTTTATTAAATACTGATTCTTTCACCTGACTTAGTTTTCTAGAGAAATATTCCATTGGTTTACCCACATCATTCTTATAAACACTTTCTAAGTGGTGTTTCATTTTGCAAGGCAACATGCATTCAATAGGGAGTATTTTCAAACACAAAACACACTGTGGGTGCTCTTCATTGTTCACACTAATGAAACCAAAATAAAAATAACTTTCATCTTGTTTTCTGTATTTGCGGCTCCTTTCTTCATCAACTTCTTCTTTGTCATCCTCAACAAGGTCTTGCTTTTTACTAGTACTTGCCAAACTAAAGAATCTTTCCATATTGCTGTTTGAATTTAAGCGTGGGACCCGGGTGCAAGAAACTCTGGAAGCAGAAAAAAGTAGCACAGGAGGAAATGTTAGGCTAAAACAGACATCAGTTGGCTATACTTATGGGCATAAGTGAATGTCATCAGTGTTGACACCTGCCTTGATTTTACAGCTTTATTTTTTGTATTGTTATCCATTTTGGCCAATGGGTGAGTGGCGGCTGCGTGTGGCCGAGGTTTGCTGCTGCCGCTCATGCTGCCGCCTGTGCCACCGCCGCTCTGCTAAACGCGGCTCCTGTGCTTGCCCTTGCGAGTGGCAGAGGCTGTTGGAGGAGGAGCTCACCCCAAAAAAAGTTTGCCGACCCCTGTGAAAAGGTTGTTCAACCCCCAAAGGGGTTGCGAGCCACAGGTTGAGAACCGCTGATTATTGCGTTTCTTGTACACTGAAGACAAGAGCAAGATGCATTTTGGCCACTAGGAGGCACTGCCATTAACACAAAAGGAAGATTCAGTGCCTTCTTTGTGGGCTTCCCTTTGTTAGCAAGGTTGGTGGGTCGCTTTCTGTCCTCTCGTAGGAGAAAGTAAAGAGGAACAGAAAGAATCTGAAATTGATCAAAGGCTTGTGTTGTGGTTCTACTTGTAACAAAATAACAAGTAAATTCAATTTGTAATTATCGTCTGAATAAACTACTTTTAATATACCAAACATGGTAATGCTATGGCAAACAAATTTATATAATGGTCCCTTGGCTGTTTGGGTTACAGACTCCGCTAACTTGGAAGTAGTACCTTGGCTTAAGAACTTTGTCCCAGGATGGGAACAGAAATCATTTGCTGGTGGCGTGGCAGCAGCAGGAGGCCCCATTAGCTAAAGTGGTACCTCAGGTTAAGAGCAGACCTCTGGAATGAATTAAGTTCGTAACCCGAGGTACCACTGTAAAATAAAACTTTTGTTTCTCAAGTAACAAAGTAACTTTTGATTTGTAAAGGGTGATGGGGTGGGCAGAAGGACTATGTATTTTTCAAAAAAAAACACCCCAAAAACAAACAAACCACAAAACCAACCCAATATTTTTTGTTTTCTCACATGGTTTCAAAATTTCTCTAGTGTGGGGCATGAACAGGGAGGGGAAAGTTCCACTGCTCAAACAGAAATCATTGTTCTTACAGGCTACTGCATTGTGCCTCTTCTTTACTTGGTAATGAAATGTCAGCCAGAGGAATGAATCTTCCCTTGCCACACCTGCAGTTTCTACAGAACCATCTATAATCCATTCATCTGCAGCTGTTCATAGTACTCACCCAGATGCTTGGTCTTCCTAGTTGTCAGGGATGCTCAAAGCTCTGGATAACCGCCCAGGCATCTGCTAAAAGAATATATCCATCTTAACTTTTACATCCTAAAAAGTTTTACATGTACCTAACTATCAAGAAAGTACAAAATCCATGGGCCGATGTTTAAAATGCCACTGACATCAGTCACAGCAATTCTAGAGCAAGATAGATCATTGTATCGCAGTAGACATTTAACAAGTATTTTCTTATGTTTGTTCCTCCCGACAGGATCCAGAGGAAAGTTGCGTTCTCGCCTCTGGGTTTAAGAGAGAATTACTCTACCCCTTTGTGTTGGCCACTTAAAGCACCACCAGCCTTAAGAGGGCAAAGCTAAAAAGGGGAAAATCTAGTGCCTGCAACTCCAAAGACTTTGACTCCAAATACTTAGTTCACACATGGATGTTTATCACTTGGCAACTACTAAATCCACTGATCTGCAAACATTCATGCCAAATAAAGAAACAGACCGAACCATTTAAGCACAATGCTTTTCAGATTCATCAGTTGCTGTATTAGGCCCTTTTCCTTTAAATCCTTCCTACTCACAAATCTGGAGGGACGCGGATGGTGCTGTGGGTTAAACCACAGAGCCTAGAACTTGCCAGTCAGAAGGTTGGTGGTTCTAATCCCCATGAGGTGGCGAGCTCCAGTTGCTAGGTCCCTGCTCCTGCCAACCTAGCAGTTCGAAAGCATGTCAAAGTGCAAGTAGACAAATAGGTACCGCATTTCTGTGCACTGCTCTGGTTTGCCAGAAGCGACTTAGTCATGCTGGCCACATGACCCGGAAGCTGTACGCTGGCTCCCTTGGCCAATAAAGCGAGATGAGCGCCACAACCCCAGTTGGTCACAACTGGACCTAATGGTCAAGGGTCCCTTTACCTTTACCTTGCTGCACTTTATCTCACTTAGCATTTTGTGCAACACTGGTACAAGTTACTGGCCATAAGCAAGTAGTCTCAAGCAATGATTATCTAGCACCATCAAATTACATGACAGCCTTAAGAGAACTGTGCAAAAAACAGGTTGCTGGTAGGCAGTATTTTGAGAGGCCAGAGATGCGTACATGCATATGCAATACGCAGCAAGGGGTTAGGGGCCAATGACTTATTGGAAAAATGGGTGGTACAGAGGAAGGATTTGAAGTAACATCATGCAGGCATCCTTGGATAAGTTACAGACATCAGGGATAGCAAGGAAACATAGGTAGAATTGTTTAGAAGAGAGCTTTGTAAGACAGCAGTGGAGGGGAAAGAATCACAGGCAGTGTTGTAATGGAAAATGAGGGCAAAAAGTAGACTGGGGCAAGGCCACTGAGTTTTAAGTAAGGCACTTGGGATGGATGCAAAATAGAATGAAAAGTTAGTGTAAGGGGCTCACTGCAAGCTCTGGGGCCAAGAGACAGATTCAAATGATCTAAAGAAAGGATTGTCATTAATTCTTACCTTCTACCTAAAGGAATATTGCTTCCTGCTTGTTCAGTTACCGAACACTTTATGGAAGGCCTTGTGGGTAAGATCTCAAGGCTTTTGCTTTTACTGGAACATACCTGCAACAGAAGTAGTTAACTGGCTACTTTTGTTACTATGGCTTTGGAAGAATACAAAGCTAGCAGCAAATGTTTCAACCTTGTAAAGTCAAGGCAACTGTACCAAATTTTGTCATAACATGTATCAAAAGCCCACTAATCTGAAGAAGTGCAACACTGGTTTTTCATCATGTCACTGCTTGTAGACGAAATTAGGGGGAATGCACAATGGGAATACTACTAATTCAATCGAGATTTATTGCTTTCTTCCCGATGCTAGCAACCAAAAGGTTCTGGGCAGGTGTGTGTTTTAAACTTGAATTCCTGTAGCATTCAAGCAGCATTTTCTGTCAGTTTTTGTAGTTCCAGAGCACTATCCTGACCCTCAAGTTCTACTCTAGAGACTCATACTGCCGAGTGAACATTGTGGGAAGATGCCACAGATGGTTCCTTGTTCCCCAATATCCTCATACAACATATTTTTAGGACGCATCCTATTTTTTATGATTGGAAACTGTTTTAATGCTGTAACCTGCCCTGGAACATTAGGGTGAAGGGTTGGGAATGAATGAAGAATATTTATTATTTCTATTGGTCCAATGTGATGGATGTTTATAGGGTTAACAAAACGTAAGAGAGAGAAGACATGATTCTATGTGAGGGGGAAAAGAACTCAAAATATTTTTATGGCAACAAAATTTGCCAATTTTTTTTTTTAAAATAAGCGTTTCTTTTTCAATGCCCAGAAAAATTGTCTGAAGGTACCTGATGTAGTTCCAGCAGCTGTAAGCAGGCCTGGCCGTATATAAAGGCCACTCTGAACGTTTTTTTAAAAAATAAACGTTTTTATTAGTTTTCTACATTATACATATGAAACCATACCAAAAGTTTATCACAAATTATATATTATGGACTTCCTTCAGCTTATCTGCCAATCATCCGTAATTAAATTTTAGTTACGCATTTCCTAAATTTAATACTGCCTTTTTATATACCTTCCCAATCTTATTTCACTCTGAACGTTTTTGGGGGCAAAGCAGGGTATAAGGCTGTGTGTGCACTGTGCATCTAAAGCACATTTCCTCCCTCAAATAATTTTGGGTACTGAAGCTTTTTAAGGGCTGCTGGGAATTACAACTCTGTAAGGGGTAAACCACAACGCTCAAAACCCCTTGAGTGTGCTTTTAAAGTACAGTACATATGCAGCCCAAGCATAAAATACAAGGGGACATTGCCAGGCTTTCATGCCCAACTCTTAACTTATTTGCACAGCAAAATTAACTCTTGCTGAGCAGTGAAAGACAAGCCATTCAAACGTGGATACTAGTTAGCCCTTTAATATGTTTCATCCTCTTTCGCCTGTATTTCACAGGCTATGAAATCCTGCATTGGGGGGGGGGCCTGGACTAGATGAGCTTTGGGGATCCCTTCCAACTCTACAATTTTACCATTTAGGCCGGTGACTGAATGCATGGGTTCAACGACACGCTTTTTTTATTATTAAGTGCTCTTTCTTGAATGAAGCTGGGAAACTTAAGGGGGTGCGGGGCATCTATTTCTGGGTAGATGAGCTCCTCATGCGAAGCCTGCCACCCACCCACCCCTCCAAACCACGGGCGTCAATCCAGCGCCACAGACAGTTGCACACCGAAATGGCCCTTCCCGGGCCAAGCAGGAGCTCCAGCACGTGTCTCTCACGACAGGATCCGGAAGCAGAGGGCGGCAGCCCTGCCCCGGGTTTCAGTGAGAGGGATCCTCTGCCCCCCTGTGTTGACCACCTCAAGCACGGGACGCTTGTGGTGCGCAATGTTTAAGGGGCTCCGCGGGGGAAAGTCCAGTTTCAAGGCCAGCTCCACCTCGCACGCGGCCATGCTTACCTCCAACCTCGGTAGGCCCAGCAGCGCCAAACCACCCCGATCAACCAGCCCAGCAGCGGAAAGGGCGCAAAGGGGGCAAGTGCGCCTTCAGCGGGTTTATATAGCGAGCGGGCAAAGCCGATCGCGCGAGACTTAGGGCCCAGGGCGCGCGCAATGGATGAGAACGGCGCGAGCGGCGGGGGGTGGGGTGGGAAGAGAGAGAATTCGTCCACTCCAGGCAAGCGCCGGTTCTGGCTGCGTCGCTGATTGGTGGAGAGGAGAAGGCACGTGACTTATCTGAAAGAGAAGGCGGGATTGGCGAGGGAGGTGGGCTAAGAGCAATAGGCATAGAATGCTAGAATGCATAGCTGCCAACTTTACCCCTTTCTTGCGAGGAATCCTATTCGGAATAAGGGAATTTCCCTTAAAAAAAGGGAAGAGTTGACAGCTATGTAGAATGGGAGAGGTTGGAAGGGGTCCCTGAGGGTCATCCAGTCCAACCCCCTTTTAATGCAGGGAACTCGGTCAAACAGGACAGGTGGCCATCCAACCTCTGTGGAAATGGAAAAGGGAGCAGGCGCTTCTTGCTTGAAGAGGGAAGGGAGATGCTGTCCATTCTCTGCGCATTGCAGGAGGATAAATATTAAGAGACGGTGGCTTGCAGTCGCCCTGCCGTGTAGCCCGCGACTGGTTTCCCCCTCGTGGCATTGGGGAGGTGGGGGTTGCAGTTCGCCATCGCTTTGCATTGTGCTATTTGATGCGCAGGTTTGCCCCACGAAATAAGTGGAACTGCAGCGTAACAGTACAAGGTGTTACTTTGTTACAAGCGCCGCCATTTCTAGTTGCAGTTTAGAGCTGCGGGAGAGTTGGGCTTCCGCCTATTTCTCTCTGTTGTGTATCTGGTTTCAGCAAGGGCTGGATCAAGCAGCCTTGCTAGTACAGTATTTCCTTCTTAATCCAGTTCTCCCTTTCTAGATCACAGAGAATTGGAAGGGACCCTGTTATGTATTGAGTTGAATAGGATCCAAAATGCAGCAGTCTGTTTGGTCCGCAAGAGCCACCCAATACAACTCTGGGTGGAAGTGAATCCACAACCTGATTGGCCTACAGGAGAATCCCAGAATTAGCCAATCACGTGGGGCCCATTGTGTAAATAATGTATATAAAGCAGACATTTCGGGGGAAATTGCATTCCTCACTACTATGAGCTGAATAAAGAGCATGAAATCCACACTCAACTCCGAGTATATTTCAGACCCTGAGGATCATCTATTCCAATGCAGGAATATGCAGATATCCTATATGGGAATTGAACCTGTGACCTTGGCATTATCAGCACCACGCTATTTATAGTAAATTAATTACTATTTTTTATAAAAATGTGAATTGTTGGTCTTGCCACTGACATTTGTTGTTGAGTCTGGATCGGTAATGTGGGCCACAGACTTTGCCAGCTACGTTTTCAAGGGTGCAACCATCCTATTTGAGAGGCGTGGGAATCTAAGGGAGAACAAGTGCCAGATGCAAAGCCCTGCTGTCTAGTTGTGGCCAGAGTAAGCAGGACACCAACAGCGAGACGTTTGCACTTGCCGTGAATCACTTCCATGAATGTGAAGGGAAGGTTCTGGAAGCACAAGTGCCATCTTGCAACTGGGCCAGGCTCTGTCTCCACCGGCAACGCAGCAAACATGCCAGTTTTTTGTTTTTTTTTTAAAGCAACTTTAAAAATCATTCTAGATATTTGTGCACAAGGCCTGGCAAGGCCCAGAGAGCATTGCAATAATAAACATGAACACACTTCTATCCTTCGTTCAAAATTACCACATGAACTTTTATGAAGAATACAAGCCATAAATAAAAGCTAGTCAAGCTGCAATTTCAATTTGGAGTCCCTGGCTGCTGCTATTGCATGGATTTATGCTTACCCTATACATGTTGGTCTTCTTATACGATACTGAAAATAGCTCGTAGTATGTCTTCAGCCCACATACTGTCAGTGCACCCCACTATTTGACTTCCACTATGCATATGCCCTGCAATTAACATTTCTAGATTGCCATACACAAATACTGGATGGGGAAAGAGCACATAGAAGCAGTATGTATTTTACAAAGGCAGAAGAACCGTTTTGCACTTCTTGTCAACCCTTCAATGATAATGTGCTATTTTTGTTTCTTAAAGGCCACTTTCAAAATGTTGTTACACTCCTCCTCTTCCCCAAATGAGGGGTGCAGAAGAGCAATCCTGTACCCAGGGGTAGATACATCACTGTGCCAAAGGAACTGCCATTGTATCCAATGCTAATCCCAAGGAGGGAAACACATGGCTAGAAACATCCCAGAACACTGTGAATAGGGCAGACTGCACCCCCGTCACAGTCCCTGGAAATATTACTAAAACCTACCAATCAGGAATGGTACAGATGGTCCTGGGACCTTTTCCTGGCTCTACACCCCCAGCACAGTGAGGTGGGAAAGCACAGACAACCAGGCAAAGTGTCACAGGAATATTCAAGAGACCCCTGTTGTATTATCTGCTAAGGCAAATGCAAATGTATAAGCATGTCCTTAGAATCACTAGTTCAAATCCCTCTAGGAGAAAAATTTTTTTGTTCCCCAACCCCCATGAAAGAGAAACATGCAACTAAAAATGATATTGAGTGGAATATCACTTCTGAACATGTGAGATTTTAATTTGCTATCAATTTAATTTGCTATCGATTTAATTGCCCTGAATTTGTCCATGCCCCTTTTTCTAGTTTACTTGAAAAAACAAAAACAGAACAGCAATATGTCTCTCCTATGGTTAATTTATGTTTTATCAATTTTCCAGGAAAGGTGGGGGAATCATATGTTCCTGGGAAGGATTAATATTTTCTGTAGCATTTCCCTATTTTAAATGACTCCAGTGCTAGTATAATTTATGACTTCTTCACTGAACGGGTTACCAAATTATTATTAGGTCACAGCTGCAACCTTATTCAAGCTTTTACACCACAGAAGGCAGGAAATTTTTTGAACCAACCAGCAGCTGCAATAAAGACAAATATTATGTACACAAAGAAGGTTAGTCTCATTGGGACTCTCTCTACAAAGGCACTAATTTGCACGGGGAATACAACTTTATGAAATGTAATTAAGTTGCAAGGTAGGGGAAGGAATGGCTATAGTATAAAATAATCATATTCCAGGGGTATTTATGGAGAATCGGACCAACTGCAAAAAGCTGTCTTAAATAAAGGTTGATAGGAATTAAAGCCCCTAACTTGCTATTAGCACAAAGTGTTAACCTGCTTTATGCATTTGGTGATGTCTTGTTCTGGTTTATGAATTTGTTAGGTCAGTGTGAGGCTGCCTACTGTCTAATTCTTAGACAGAAAACAAATCCTTCTGCCGTTCCCTTCTCACTATAGAAAAAACCACTGGTTTCTACCCTCTTAGTTTATGACTAAGAGGACCACTGTGGACCTTTATGAATGGTCAGAGGTGAACTTGAGTGGGCATGGACAGGAATGCAGTACCATCAAAGTGACGAGCTTAAAAAAGGAAAAGGACATGTACTCATGATGCTGTTCAAATTCATGAAGGCAATACTTAATTTCTAAAAGAAAAGGAAAAGAGTGTGAAAGAGTTAAGGCTTGCCAGTGTCATTGTCCATCAGCCCATATTTCATTCATGTGACAAACAAAACTATTTTATAGGTGTGGGCAGAAAGTAAAATGGTATACTACTACATATAGCTGTCAGTAAATCAACAAAGGTTTTTGATTCCCAATGGTTTCACAAAAGCCACAACAACAACAAAGACTCCCAATTAAGTTGGTTTTCTTGGCTGATTGTACTTCTTTGTCACTTTCCATTCAGATGAATGCCAAAGTGGCTTACACACAATAAGCAACAAAAGCAGGGACATAATAGAATATCATCGTTAGAACACAAGTTATGTAATATCATTAGCAAATGCATAATATAAAAACAATTATAAATAATTTATAATATATAACAACAACAACAATAATAAGACAGATGCTAAACATTGTTGCATACATTGCCGCTGCCACCACTCCAGCTCAATAATCATGCACTTTACTTAGCATACAAAAGGGTCCTGATTCAATAGAAGCAGCTGCTACAGAACCAGACTGCAACAAGCACCCAGTTTTCTGACCTCAGTCAAGTACATGTGCATTCATGGCCAGCAGGCTTGTTTCCACTCAGGCTGCTGTCCCCCAGACTCAAGCTCTCACCGAGAGATTGGAATAAATGTTACACCTACTCCCCTTGGGACTCCACAGTCTCACTGAGAACCACCATCCATCCCCCACAAATAGCAGCAGCATGAAACAACAAGCAAAGGCAGTGATGAACTTGTTATGCCCTACCACCAGCATCTGGTTGTTCTTGTTTCAGATGACCTGCATGAGACGCTTAATCTCAAGAGTCATGGTCTGAGCACTACACTGGGCAAAAGATTCCTGCATTGCTACATGACCCTTGTGGTCTCTTCCAACTCTACAATTCTATGATTCCATGGATGTCTTAACAATTGGCAGCAAGGCACACACCCCATCACTCTTCCCACCAGTTCTGTTACAGCCCAACATTAGCCAGGCTAGTAGACCTGCCAGGGAACAGGGTGAGCTGATGGGGTCAGTGTGCTCATACTGTCTGTTGCTCAAGCTCTTCACTCTTGGATTAATTCTGTGTGCTTTTGGAGGGATGAGGAAGTCTGTGGCCCATGAATTTTGAGCTCCAATTCTATGCATGAGCTTGAAATGTAGATAAGGCAAAGCAACATTAGCTAGTCCAGGTAGTTGTGTGGCCTTGAGGCTCTTATTACAACCACCCACAGCAAAATGGATATTTTCTGATAACATTTTGGTTGGGAGTATTTGGAGGCAAATGAGCAGCAGGCTGTGAAAAGGAAATGCAAGGGTGAGTGTTCTTTTGACCTTTCAATAAAAATTATATAAGAACAGTTGTGCTATAAATAGTTCGTTTTGTCTTACCAGAGAAAGGAAACACAAGGCTGTTTTGTTTGTTATGAAGGGATACAATGAGAACAATTGCTCAGTGTTCTTATCCTCCTGATACTATTTTGAAGAATAAAATTTCTTGCTTTCCCAGCATTTCTTTGTCAACCATTAAAAAAGAAAATACGTCTTTGTGATATGCACCCTGCCAACATTGCACTTATTTGCTACTAGTTTTCAGAGGGGCAGCTGTATTTGACACAATCTCACAGCATCTTAAAAGACCAACAAACTTACTGTGGTGTGAGTTGAGCCCCCCCCCCAAAGCCTCCGCTTTTAAAAAACAAAACAACTTAGCATCAGTGGTAGTTAAACCAGAGTTTACAGTTAGTTCCTCAAGAAAAATTGAAAGAAGACATGCCACCATTGAGCATTGAGCAACCTGAAACTGTTCTTAACCTGAGGTACTGCTTTAGCTAATGGGGCCTCCTGCTGCCGCCGCGCTGCCGGAGCACGATTTCTGTTCTCATCCTGAAGCAAAGTTCTTAACCTGAGGTAATATTTTTGGGTTAGCAGAGTCTGTAAACTGAAGCATATGTAACCTGAAGCGTATGTAACCCAAGATACCACTGTACTGGAATAAAAGAAACCTGTTGTCTTTATTAACCCCCCAAGTGATCGGATTGGATTTTTATCTTGATAAGTTGTGATTTAGTGGTTTCATGCTGATATATCCTTTTGAATTTCCTTTGTTTGAGAATTACCCCTTGAAGGTCAGCAACAGAGTGTTCTGAGAGACTGAAATGCTCTTCTACTAGTTTCTGAATCTTTAAAAAAATAATGTTATTTTGTTGAAGGGCAAGTATATACCACTGCACGACGAAATAAAATCAATTCTGATTTTATTAACGTGAACTAATATTTTAAACTAGCCTCCAGTTATGCCTGTTGGGCAGGAATGGATCACTAGTAAAACTGCCCTATGCTGGAACACAAACAAAATATGCTGGATGTACAGCAGATTACCGATGCTAGTTTGCAATGAGTGGTAGATCCTTATGCTGGCTAGGGGAGCAGAATGGGTGGAGTAGGGAGTTTGGTGAGAGAGAAGCAGAACATAGTCAGAAACTCACACCAGGGTGATGCTCTACAACAGGCTTCCTCAACCTCGGCCCTCCAGATGTTTTGAGACTACAATTCTCAGCATCCCTGACCACTGGTCCTGCTAGCTAGGGATCATGGGAATTGTAGGCCAAAAACATCTGGAGGGCTGAGTTTGGGGATGCCTGTCTTACAGTAAGTGTTATACAGTGGTACCTCTGGTTACATACTTAATTCGTTCCGGAGGTCCATTCTTAACCTGAAACTGTTCTTAACCTGAAGCATCACTTTAGCTCTTGGGGCCTCCCGCTGCCGCCGGAGCACGATTTCTGTTTTCATCCCGAAGCAAAGTTCTTAACCCGAAGTAATATTTCTGGGTTAGCAGCGTCTGTAACCTGAAGCGAATGTAACCCGAAGTACCACTGAGATATTACCTCAGGTTAAGAACTTTGCTTCAGGATGAGAACAGAAATCATGCTCCAGCGGCACGGCGGGAGCGGGAGGCCCCGTTAGCTAAAGTGGTGCTTCAGGTTAAGAACAGTTTCAGGTTAAGTATGGACCTCCGGAACGAATTAAGTACTTAACCCGAGGTACCACTGTACTTTTTAACATTTGGAGGGAGGAAAGGGGCTGGTCCTGTGAACCCTTCAGTAACACCCCCCCCCCAAAGAGCACTGGGTAAGATTCAACTCTCAGGCTGCAAACATGACATTTTATATACCATTCTTTAAGGAGGAGGGTGCTATTTCACTCATGTCTTGCTTGTGGGTTCTGGGAACAGAATGCTGCCCCAGAACCAGCAGGCCACAGATCTCTTGCATTTTTAAAAACACACTGGGCACCTCTCCTTCTGCGTGGCCTTGATTATATATGTCTCTTGATACTGGTGGTGGAAGAGCAGGATCAGTAACATTTCCCCCTTGTCCTTGTCAGCGAGGGAGATGATGTTTCTTTCTCCAGAAGCAAACGTCTGCTTTACAAGACATGCATACATGCCTCACTGGGTCGCTCTCTGCACTTGATCACTGCACAGTTGACTGGCTGCACCAAGGATGTGAGAACTGATTCGCCTGGAAAGCAATTGCATCCGAGGCGGCGCGAGGGTTGCGCAGCTTCCAGCGGAGAGGAAATCTCCTCTCCCAGCCCTCGAAACGGCGACGTTTCCCCACGCGCGCGTGCATCAAGTGTTCCCTAACACTTGATGCACGCGTGTTTTCCAGTGTCGCCCTTCTGAGTGCAGCTCCTGCAGGATCTGAAGCCGGCACCGGCCCAATCTTGCCCTGGCGTCCTAAAACGTGGAAAAAAGAGAAAAAAAGAGGCGAGATGCCTGACTCTTTGAATGTTGGGATGCGAGAAAAACCCAACGCCTTGGTGCCCCTTTGACCCGTAGCTGGCGGAACCCGCCTCCCGCCTCTCTGGCATTGGCTGCTGGGCGCGCCCCCTTCCCGGGGCGGTTGGCTGGTGGCGACGCCACTCACCCGGCCCTGACCTCCCCTTCCCCGGCCGCTGTCAAAGTTGACCGCCGGGCGCTGCGTTGCAATGGAGAGAAGGGAAGAGGCGCAACAGCACCCGCTGCGGGGGAAGGAGGCGGAGGAGGAGGAAGAGGAGGAGGAGGAGGAAGGAAAGCGGGGGGATTGAGATCGCGCCTGTCCCAGCTGCTGGAAACCAGCGCCGCTGATCCGCGCTCGCCTGGTGGCGGCTGCGCGCCCACGAGAGAAGCCGATCGCCCCCAGAAATGCCGCGCTGCTGCTGCTGAGAGGGAGACCCCGGCCACCCCCAGCGGCTCCTGGACGGGTCTGGGAGCGGCGGAATTAGCCGGCAGAGCAGGGAAAGGCGGTGGGTGGGTGCCCTCTGCCTCCGATCCTGCAGAGCCCCGAGGCGGAGCAGCCGATCTCTCTCTCCCTCCCCCTCCCCCCCGCCTCGGCAGAGCTTCCGTTTCTCTCCACTCCCCCCCCCCCCGCCGCCTCTCCCTGCTCCTCCCGGCCTCTTTCCGATCCTCCCCAGCCATGACCATTCCGGTTTTCACCTCATAAAGATGGCGGTGCGGGATCACTGCAACCTTTAGACTCATGACTGTCAGAAACATCGCCTCCATTTGTAATATGGTGAGTATTACTTGCTCGGCCTGGCTGGGGGCGGGAGGGGCGCACGGGGCGGGGGAGAGAGCCGCACAATCCTCCCCCGCACCCACTAAACACACACACACACTCACACTCTTCCGCCTCCCCCACCCCCTACAACCCACCCAGTTATGGGGAGATCGGAATCCACAGAAAGGTGCGTGCAGAGAGGGCAAGGCTTCACACACACCCCGCCCCGAATTGGTTGCCAGAGTTTCAGGCTTGCAATCCTGGGCCACACTGAACTTGGAAGTAAAAGGCCCACTGCAGCCCAGTAGGACTTGCTCCCGAGTAATCCCTTCCCAGGATCGGGGCCATTTTGGAAGGAGGAGCTGCGGAAGTCTGGAAATGCAGGCGATCTCTCTGCTGATCCGGTGGGCGGGGTGCTGGAGGTGGGCATCCGAACCATGTGTGGGGAGGAGGGGGGCGTCCTTGAAAGTTTGCACAGTGTTGCTTTTTTTGCACAGGAGAATACCGGGTGTACAGTGCTAGGTGCGGATGAGGCAGGGATCTGAATAACTGGGTTTTGGAAACAAGGGAGGAATTGTTTTTTTCAGCGTGCAAACATGTTGGGCAGGTTCAAACATGAACATGTGATTTCCGTCTGGGCAGTGCTAGTCCCTCAAGGAAGCATGTGCTCCAAAAGGAACTGGTTCAAATAAGAGTTGTTTAAGCTTCTGTGCATAAGCCGAGCTAAGAGATGTGGCCTTCAACCTGCCTCTCTTTTGAATGAAATGAATAAATCAGGAGTTAGATGCAGAGCTTTGATCAGTTTTGCTCTTCTTCGCTTAGAAATTTAGTTAACCAGGAGGTTTTTGCATTCAACTTATTGACCGAATGTGTCAACATTTTCCAAACATTTTTCTCCTTTGTAAATTGGAAGCTAGGTGATAAAAAAGTGTTATTTATCTGAAGGGTGGAGGAGAGACAATGCAAACTAGTTGCAGGAAAACTTGTACAGTAGTAGCTCTTTAATGAATTGCAATATTTTGCAGGGTGTGGGCAAGTCCCCGCCCCGCAAAGGGTGAAAAGTCACTAGGTCCAGTGAGTCATCTCCTTGTGTGTCTGTAGGTAACAAATTGTGTGAAAAACAACTACCTAGATCTTACTTGCTGTACCAGTGTGTACATGCTTAGACTGGAGGGCATCAATAGCTAGGGAAAGAGGTAGTGGTAAAAACCACTCCTTAAGAAACCCTCCCTGCTCTCAGAAAATCTAAGTAACTACCGTCAGTTGCTAATCCCCCCTTCTTGGGCAAGGTTCTTTAGCGGGTGGTCACAGATGAGATCCAGGCACTCTTGGAGGAAACCGATTTTCTAGATTCATTTCTGTTGGGACTTAGGCCCGGTTTTGGCACTGAAACTGCTTTGGTCGCCCTGTATGATGAGCTCTTGCCAGGAGAGAGAGACAGGAGAAATGCGTCCTTGTTAATTCTCCTTGACCTCTTACTGGCTTTCGATACCATTGCCCATGGTTTCCTTCTGGAGTTTGAGTGGGTGGCACCCCTTTGCAGTGGTTCCAGTCCCACTTGGATGGCTGTTTCCAGAGGGTGATGCTTGGGGAACGTTCTTCGGCCCTGTGGAACCCTCATTGTGGCCTCAGGGCCAGTGCTGTTTTGCTAGAAAAAGAGGTGTCAGGACTCACCATGAATACTTCCCTTGTTCTCTTATAATGGCAATGACACTCAACTGAGAGATGCCGGAACTGAATTCTGGTGAGTTCTGAGCCAAAAAAAAGCTCTGCTCAATTTATCCCCTATCAACATGAGACCTCTGAGTGGGGTTATCTGGAGTTTTGGAGCACATGGTCAGCAATCTGCTGATGACACACAGATCTACTTCTCCTTTACATCTACAGCTGTGGCATGGATGTGTTGGAACATTGCCTTGCCTCGGTAATGGACTGGATGAGAGCCAACTGAGGCACTGTTAGTGGGTGGTTCCCTTGACTGTATGGATGGGAGGTTGCCTCCTATTGATGGGGTTACACTCTCTGAAGGAGTGGGTACATAGCTTGGGGGTCCTCCTGGATCCTTTGCTGTCGCTTGAGGCTCAGGCGGCCTCAGTGGCGTGGAGTGCCTTCCATCAACTTTGGCTGGTGGCCCAGCTGTGCCCCTGTCTGGACAGGGATAGCCTAACCTCAGTTGTCTATGCTCTGATAACCTCTAGGTTAGATTACTGCAATGTGTTAGATGTGTGGCTGCCTCTGAAGACAGTTCGGAAACTTCACCTGGTGCAGAATTCGGCAGCCAGGTTGCTCACTGGGGTAAGATGGTGTGTGAATATTACATCGATCCTGGCCTGACTGCACTGGCTGTCAATTAGTTTCCAGGCCCAATTCACAGTGCTGGTTTTAACTGATAAAGCCTTGAACTGCTCAAGGACCACCTCCTTATTTGTGGAATGCTCTCCCCTGGGACGTTCATCTGGCACCTTTATTATACATCTTTAGGCACCAGGCAAAAATGTTCCTCTTCAACCAGGCCTTTAGCTGATGAACAGTCTATGGCCTTTAAAACATGTTGGGGGTTGTTATGGGTTGGTTTTGTTCTTGTACTTATTATGTACTTTATGGTTTTATTCTGTATTTGTATGTCGTGAACTGCCATGGGATCTTTGGTATATATAATAATAATAATATAATATGAGAGCACATCACAAAATATGATGATGGACCAGCCTTGTGGTCAGAACACATGCTTATAACAGGAAGTGTAAGACCTGAGTCCTCAAGCTGATTCCTTCATTGCTTGCTCATTGAAGTCAAAAGGGGTTCTGAAAATGTGGGCCTTGGAGCAGCCTGTATTTCATTTCTGCTTTGCTTTCTTCCTTTTGTGACAGAACTTGTGTGTGCTGTTAAGCAGTAAGCTGGTCTGGTTTCCTTGCCTTTAATTTGGAAGATACTCAAGATGCAGTAGTAGGACAGGTTCTGAGACTCGCACAGCGCACACACACACACACACACACACACACACACCACTTGCCTAGAAGGACCAATTTACTTTCTTATTTTGACAATTAAGTGACTCACGGTTGCATAAACATATAGCAAAAAAATGTGATTTGGGAAATAGAACGACGATAATAAACGTTCTGCCCTTCTCCTTAGTGGCCAAAATCTACCTTTCAACAACAGAGGCTTGCAGCACCTCCAAGACTAAAAGTACTCCAAACTTAATTTCTAAAGCTGAAATCCTATATACCATAAGCTTGCTTGGGATTGTTGGTTTCTGCTTTCCTTCACTGTGCAGCTAGCATGTCATGAGACAGTTGTTTTGCATTCCACAGTCAGAGGTACTGTTGGAGTTTCTCACGGGAAAGGGAGACTGGATGTGACGTACACTGGTTTCCTGTTTTTTTCACTGTGTGATTCTCTCCAAGCTGTCGCGGAGAGAGGATGCATTTTTCTGCTCATGCAGAGGCAAGATGTCTTTCTGTAATATACCAGCTTTGAACTGTAAATAAAGCAATTTAGAGTATGTAACACATTTTCCTCATCCTTCCGCTGGGCAACCAGACTCTGCTTTAAATCAACACGTGGTTATGGACTCCAGGAGTCGAATCGGAGTGCCGGCAAAGGATCGGAATGCAGAGGGACGGATCGGAAAGGAATCTGCTCTGCGCGTAGAAGTGATTGATGAGGTATGTGCTACTGCTCCGGGCAGCCTGCCAGCTTCGAGTTAATGGCTTTATGGCTGGACTTTGAACGTTTAAAGCCGGTTTTGCAAAAGGCAAAAGGCTCCCAGGCACAAGTCACTATGCTGGGGAAATCGAAAGTAACTTTTAAGTGTGCCTTTGTAATGAAGCAGCTGCAGCAGTGACGCAGCAAGATTTAAAGCAGCATAGATATGACGCTGAAGGCTAATGCCAGAGTCATGATGGCCCTTCAGGATGCTTGTGGGATTCCTAAGCTCAACAAGAAAAATTACAGCGACTGGGTTCAGTATGCAGAGGCAATTCTGCGGAAAGAGGGTTTGTTTGAGGTGATTACAGGAACCCCCCCAGTTCCAGTTACAGATGCATGGGAAGCTAAGGATTCCAAAGCAAGGGGAACTCTTACATTGATGGTATCCCCAGAAGAGCTCTGTCTATTGCGTGATAAGACCTCAGCCAGAGAAATTTGGGACGCTCTGAGAGAGGCTCATTTAAGGACAGAAGCTGGATCCACCATGTTTTACTTCAACAAGCTGCACAATATGGCTCTTGCTGAAGGTGGAGATGTACGTTTACATCTGATGGAGATGCAAAATCTGAGACATGAGCTGCAACAGAGAGGACTCAACTTTCCAGAGGCTGTGTATTCTTTCATGATACTACAATCTTTGGGTTCAGGTTGGGAGTCTGTTGCAACCCAGATTGCTGTGCAACCAACTGCTCAGCTGTCAGTGGACTTTGTTACTGCCGTGATTTTAAATGAAGCAGATCGCCGGGGTGCCAGCTGCATGGGCAAGGGGGAGTCTTCACAGACGTCATCCCATAGTGCAGTGGAACCACCAGATGGCGCCAAAGCTTTGAAGGCAGTGAAATGCTACACGTGTGGACGTCTAGGCCATATGAAGAGGGAATGCAGACATCCCAGGGCCAAGACAGAGCAGCGCAGCGAAAGCTCATCGCGCGGAAAAGGCCGAGGCAAAGGCAAAGGTCCGGTGTCTAGGACAACGCAGCACAAGGCTATGGTTTCACGCTTCACTCCAAAGGTTGCAGAGGTCCAGAAGACGTCTAAATCTTTCTTCGTTGTTGATTCAGCGGCCACCCACCACATGTGCAACGATAAGAAACTGTTTGTGTCTTTTACACCGCAGGAAGGTGCGATTCACCAGGCGGATGACCACACTATTCCCAGTAAAGGCTACGGAACTGTTGTTCTTCACAGTTTGGACTTATCGATACAGAATGTGCTTTACGTGCCAGACGCCAAACATAATCTGCTCAGCGTTGGACAGCTGAATGAGCGGAACATTGACGTTTCCTTCAAGAACAAGAAGTGCATCATCACAAAGAAAAATGATTATGTATTGCATGCAGAATATGTTGATCGTTTGTTTGTTTTGTATTATGATGATGTGGTGCAGGATGACACTTGTTGCATTGCAGGTTCTAACAAAAGTTTGCATGCAGAATGTATTCACGATTTTCATCGCAAATTTGGTCATTTGCATTTTGAGGCAGTATCTAAAATGCCTGCCTTGGTTGAAGGTATGACTATTAAACCCTGCAGGTACCACATGAAGTGCAAAGCATGCGCAGCAAACAAGGTGAAAATGGCTGCGAAAGGTAAGGTGTCTAGTAGGAAAGCTACAGAACCATACCAGGTTGTTCATGCTGATTTGGTTGGACCACTATCGCCCTCTTTGGGTGGAAATAGATACTTCATGGTTCTCATTGATGCATTTTCTAGATATATTTTTGTGTACAATCTCAAGCAGAAATCAGAGGCTTTTCCTAGGTTCAAGGAATTCTGTGCTTGGTTGGAAAATGTGCATGGTAAGAAGATAAAGACTCTTTTCAGTGATCGCGGGGAATTCACTTCTCAGCAGTTTGAAGCTTTTCTGACTGAGAAAGGAATTCAACACGATTTGTCTAGTCCTCGCTCGCCATGGCAGAATGGACTTGCGGAACGGGCAAATCAGACTTTGCTTCAAGGGTTAAAAACCTTGCTGCATGATGCCAATCTTCCAGAGAGTTATTGGGCCGAATCTCTCTCGTGTTTTGTTTACAGTTACAATCGCAGGCTATCTTCAGCGATTTGTTGTACCCAATATGAGAAGATGTTTGGCAAGAAGCCATACATCAAACACATGAAGATTTTTGGTTCTGACATGTGGGTTCACTCACCACAAAACTCCAAGTTAGACAAGCGTGGATTGCATGGTATCTTTCTAGGTTATCAGAAAGGGTCTTACAGAATAATGATGACTGACTCTAAGACAATTAAGCTCACGAGAAGTGTTGAGTACAATGCAAAGTGGGGGAGACTGTGGGAATTTTCCAATGTTATCCTGATGACGGTGATGAGACTGAGGATAGTCAAAAGCAACCACAACAGCCCACACCCACTGATGAAGGTTCTGAGTCTGAATCTGAAACTGAATCGGGTGATTCAGAGGATTTCAAGAGTGCGAAAGCCTCTATGCGACCCTCTGAAAGCTCTGATCAAGAATTGGAGGAACCATTGTTCACAATAGGTCGTTTTTCTCCTAAGAAGGAAGAGGAGAGTGTTGAAGACTTAAGGCTAATTCGTAGGTCACAGAGAGCTACAAAAGGCAAACCTCCAAAGAGATTTGCTGATGAGTTTGCTAAGATAGCAGTAACAGCTGTTAAAAGCTCCAAGAAGGTATTTGAACCTTCAAGTTTCCAAGAAATCCAGGGTTTGGATTCAAAGGAAGCTGAGCCATGGTTAAATGCCATGAAGGCTGAGCTTGATTCCTTAGAAAGGAACAAAACATGGGAGCTAGTTCCAGTAGTTCCAGGAATGAAACTGCTTGGAAGCAAATGGGTTTTCAAAGCGAAGACAGATCAAAATGGCAAGATAGTCAGACACAAAGCCAGATTGGTAGCCAGAGGTTTTGCACAGGTACCAGGTGAAGACTATCACGAGACCTATTCACCCACAGTGAGATATGAAAGCATTAGGCTTATGCTTAAGCTAGCTGCAGAGGAAAATCTACACATTAGTCACCATGATATTAATACAGCTTTTCTGTACGGATCTCTAGATGAATCACTTTATATGCTTCCACCTGATGGCGTACAGGTAAAACAGGGATTTGTTTGTGCTCTGAAGAAATCCCTTTATGGTCTCAAACAAAGTGCACGGTGTTGGCACACAAAACTCACTGAAGTATTGTTTTCTCTAGGTTTTCAGCAAGGAAAAGCTGATCCATGTGTATTTGTCAAAGAGGAGGGGCAAAAGAAACTGTACTGTTTGTTTTATGTTGATGATTTATTATTTTTTTTGGAAAGATGTCGCAATGTACAATAGCGCCCTAGCTCAACTGAAAGAGCACTTTGACATGAAAGATCTTGGTGAGGTAAACAACTACCTATCTCTGGAAATAGAGAGAGATCAAGATGGTAACATTCTAGTACACCAGTCACGGAAAATTGCTGATGTGTTAAGCAAACTAAATCTGATGGATGCTAACCCTGTAGACACACCGATGACAACAGGTTATCAGGTAGATGACACTGAAGAAGCATTTTCTGACACTACACTGTACAGGAGTGTGCTAGGCAAGCTAAACTTCATTGCCAGATGTTCAAGACCAGACATTGCTATTAGCTGTAATTTGCTAAGCAGACAAGTCAACAATCCTAGTGTCAAGGATTGGAAAGCTCTGAAACGCATAGCGCGGTATTTGAAAGGCACTATGCATTACAGACTGAGATTTAACAATCAGAAGTCTGGAGGTCTTGAGATATTTGCAGATGCAAGTTTTGGAAGTGACACTACAGACAGGAAAAGTACGTCTGGAGTTTGCTACATGTACAATCAGAGTCTGTTTGATTGGTCATGCAAGAAGCAAACAACAGTTAGCTTAAGTACTTGTGAAGCCGAATTGAATGCACTGTCTTATTCACTTAAGGATTGTGAATGGTTAGTACAATTGTGCAAAGATATGACAATTCCTGTCAAATGTCCAATCCAGGTTTACCAGGACAACAAAGCATGTTTGGTTTTGCTGAAGTCTGAAGGTTGTAAGCAAAGCACAAAGCACTTGCAATTAAAGTTGCAGCAGGGATAAGTCCCACTGTACTCAATAACCCTTTCCCTTCGAGTAGACATGTATAGGATTTCATTGTAACATATTTATTAGGGCATTACTTTTCATCTACTAGCTAGAGTCTGCATTACCAGATACATGAAGTGTTATCCTCAGTTGACTGGTGGTGTGTGTGTGTGTGTGTGTGTGTGTGTGTGTGTGTCTTATTGTTGACATTTTATTACATTACCCTCCTTTCATCTGAAGGTTCCAGGGTGGATTACAACATATGAAAATACAATAAAATTAAAATAGCAATAAACATCAACAAGCTCGCCCTTAAAAGGGTAATTCCATACATGTATATATATAGAGAGAGAGAAAATTTGTAAACTTGTGTGTCCAAATGGCAAAATAATAATAATATGCAGTTTGTGATAATTCTGTGTAAAGCTGTAGGTAAGCAAAGTGATCTTCACAACAACAGTAATTGGTGCTGTGATCTAAACCACAGAGCCTAGAGCTTCCCGATCAGAAGGTTAGCGGTTTGAATCCCCACGACGGGGTGAGCTCCCGTTGCTTGGTCTCAGCTCCTGCCAACCTAGCAGTACGAAATCACATCAAACTGCAAGTAGATAAATAGGTACCGCTCTGGTGGGAAGGTAAACGGCGTTTCCGTGCGCTGCTCTGGTTTGCCAGAAGCGGCTTAGTCATGCTGGCCACATGACCCGGAAGCTGTCTGTGGACAAATGCCGGCTCCCTCAGCCTATAGAGCAAGATGAGCGCCGCAACCCCAGAGTCGTCCGCGACTGGACTTAACGGTCAGGGGACCCTTTACCTTTAGCTTTTCACATAGCAATGTGGGTTGAATCCACGTGGCCCCTTCCAACTCTGCAATTCTGAGCAGGGGCTCTGTCTACTGAAGTGTGTGAGAAACTGCTTGGGGAGATGCAAGCTTTTTATCCAGTACCTAGTCTTGAAATGGGTTTTGTGTATGTTTTACGGCCTATCCCTGGGTGTAGCCAGGACTTTTGTTGGAGGAGGCAGGACTTTGTTTTGCGGGGGGGGGGGGGGATCCCACATGATTCGCCAGTGAGTTAAGTATTTCTATTGTTTTACTTGAACTGGAGGGAGCAGCTGCCCCCTGCGCCCCCCATGGCTACGCCCATGAGCGCATCTGCATGTTCAGCAAATGTCCACAGTGCAGTCTTCCTAGAGCTGTAAAATGCGTGTGGAGGATTACATGTTTGAACGATTCCCCCCATTTAACCATTTTTTTCTGTGTTAGAGAAAAGGCGGTCAGCATAACATGGGTGGGTTCTTTTGCTTCCCTTCATGTGCCGCTTGATGATTCTGTAGTTGGAAGAGCAATAACAGAGACTCCTTTCTTCCTTTGAAGCGGTAGGAAGCCGCCTTGAAACAGTAGGGGGGCACAGAGAAATTCCTCACAGTGCAAAAACATTCTTGGGATTTCTTTGTTGGGGGCAAACAAAAATCAGGCCTGTTTGGGTCCCATGGAAGCTCTTGTCCCCCATCCTCACTTTCAGCCTCAATTACAAAAAGCTCCATGGCTCTACTGCCCTCCTGCCACAAACAAAGCAAAACACCAACAGCAACATCCCAGACATGAGAGAAGGCTTTGCCACTGCTCTGCATGTGTTGCAACAGAACAATGGGCTTTGATGAGTTGGAACAGAGACTAAATGGGGCATAGCAATCGCTTTTATATTTGTACAGTATGCCACATCCTTCACTGCCCTCCATCCAGAGAAGCCATAGGATTTCTCAGAGTTCAAGGACATATTCCAGACAGGCAGAAGCACTCGAGGAAGGTTGGTGCAGGGCTTGGTTCAAGAGGATTTGTGGCCTGGAGAAAGTCCCAAGGGTCTGTGTTTTCTCCATCCCTGGGATAAAAATTAAAATAAAATTACATAAAAAACAAAAATAATGCTGGGAGCCAAATCTGACTGCTGGGGCTTTTGATTGCCGGTTTAGGGCTGCAAAATCTTTAGTCAAAATGTTTGCTTCATTAACTTGTATTTAAGGAGAGGTGGAGAAATTGGCTTTGACTGTGGCATTTGAAACTGGAGTGTACTGTTTTTGTTCCTATGTTTTGTATTTTTGTGTTTGTATATTGCAAACCACCCTGCGATTGTTGGAGGAAGGGCGGTATAGAAATTTAATAAATAAAAATGTTAAGAATAAAAGGAAGTACCCAAGTACAATATCTGGAGCCATTCCTCAGAACATCTTTCTGTTTTAGTTTACATCCCCCCTTATTTTCAGGTTCTTGCAGGAGCAGCTAGATACAGTCACTATCTTCCCTCCTTGCGGCAAGCCTGCATGTCCCTTGCTGATGATGTCATATGCACCACTCATCAGTGGTGGACAATGGAGCCTACCTATAATGTAATGCACCTCTGAGCCTGTGGGGTCTTGACCTTCCTGGGGTCACTTGCAAGGCTATTTGAGAGTCATGAGCACTATCCTCTCCTCTTTCTTGCCAATATTTTGTTGAAATGAGTTTTCTCAGTTGCCTCCATTGCCAGAAACAGCCGTACAGAGAACTGTTCTGAGGTCCCCAGTCACACCCAGCTTAAAAGGTTGAGAATTCCTGGAATAAGCGATACTATTTAAGAAACCATATATTTGACTGGGAGGAAAGAATCCTGGACTCTCCTATTGATTTTTGTTTTGTTTCACTTGGAAACATTATGTTATCATGTGCAACTGTAAATTGAGAATTAACGCTGGGGAATTAGACATATTGAATTTGGTTTGTCAGAGCAACCAGAAGGATCCTTGTTTAGTTACCATTGGTTGCCTGAAGATTATCATTTTTACAAGAGCGAATCCTCATGATGGAGAGCATTTACACCACTCCTGAAATGGCAGAATTTATTCGGACTCTTGTGGGGATATAAGGATGAAGCTTGTAATTCCGACAAGTAAATAAATAAATCTATTTTCCAGTATATTAAGTAGAAAGGAGGTCTGCCCCCACCAAAAAGAAAGGATCCTTCATGTCAAGGATATTGGGGCTCATCCAGACTTTCTTTTGCACCATGCTTTCCAGGCACAGGTCTGTGAGACCTTTGTGTCTGAGCAGTTTTGTTGTCTCTGGGAAAACCTGTGTTTTACTGCTGAATCACAGCAAATGGCAATTCACAGAAAACCTGGTTGTTGTTTGCTCTGATTCAGCAGTAAAATATGGGTTTTCCCAGAGAAAGTGCCAACACACACACACGGCTCAGAAATGCAACTTTAAAGCCTAGACCTGCATCCTGAGTCAAAGCAACAGCATTTTGTGCCTGGGCTAAGAAGTAGATGGATCATTACAAAAGGAGATGGCAAGGTCGTGAGGACTTTGGGGATTTTTTAAAATACAAAGCTGAAAGGCTAAAAAAAGAAAGAGAAAAAAATTGTTCCTCCTGTGACCCAGGGACATGTCAATTTATCCACCAACTAGGAAACCCAACAGCACATAGAACTCGCAGTGTTGCACTAATTGGAAAGAGGAAGGATGCACAACAGGAGTTTTGGGATGTGATGCAGCAGCAAAGTAGGGAGAGCCAGGCTAAGATGTGCACAATATATGGGGAGGCCTCTGGCCTCATTGCATGCACCAAGATGTCACCAACTGGATAAAGGAGGCAGGGAAGGCCTGAGCCATTTAAGTTCATTCTAGGTTCCTTTGGGAGTCCAGATTTTGAAATAGTTGGGAAAAGAAAAAGGACAAAGATAGGCCTCTCCCAAATACAGCAGCCTGACCTGGTGTTTGGCGCCAGCTTTAGAAATACTCGAGTCCTCAAACTTAGTTGTATTTACTTTTGATATCTTTGAATCCTGTGGCTAGGTCAAGTGATAACTCCATGAAAATGCTTCCAGCTTAAGGAAGAGTTAGCATGCTAGAGCTCTGACCAGCATGCTATGGAAATTGGCCACATTGAGGGTGTGGCAAAGTTCAATTTTAGTTTTGTGCGTTTGGTGTAGTTCCATTTATATGGGCTCCTTGAGAATGCTAGAAGAACAGTGACTGGTTTTGGCAGAGGGGCTTGTTATATTGAAGGAGGATTTCAACATGTGTCACTTCCATCTCACAGCCTGACGGGAGTTCTGCTCCCTCCTTTTATCTGTGGTCCTTCAGCGCTCCTTGATGAGTTTCACCCTTTCATAGGCGCTGTTCCTCTTTTTGTATCTTGCTGTGTTGCTAGCTGCTCCCTTTTCCAGTGTCCTGGTTTTGCTTGTCTCGTGGTTGTTGGTTGTGGGACTCCATCCACTAAGGACTTGCTTCTTGTGACAAGTATTCTGGTTTCGCCAGGTAGACGGGGCTAGCCCTGACTTTCGAAAACAATATCAGTGATATGTGGGGCAGCAGCTGGAGCAATAGATTTCCTGTGCGTGATGTGTTTGTTCACATTCTCAAAGGATATACACTGATTTGAAAGGCAACAATGCTAAAACCCCCCACATAATATAACTCTCAATGCAATTTCTCTACAGCATCCTCTGGTGTCACACTTTTATAACACATTTTAATGTTTTAATTGACCGGTGTAGGTTAGTCCAAACTCACATAAGATTTGTCTGCAAACTTTCCAGAAGGAAAACCAATAAGCAGTTGGGTGGCAATTGTGGAATCTCTTTCCATGGTTTCTAGTCATGATGGCAAGGGTGATCCCTTGCATGTTGGTGATGCCTGAAGTGGAGGACAGGGTTCTGTCCCTGCTTGTTCTATGTGCAGAAACTGATCAGTCTGAGAATTGAATTTTAGGATGTGCTGTTGGCATCCATCTGTCTCGAGAGACAATGTGTAGACACCATCCATTTAAAGCACACACCACAAATCCTGGAAACTGTAGTTTACCCCTCAGAGATCCTAGCACCATTAAACTACAGTTCCTAGGATTTTGTGTGTGTGTGTGTGGGTAGGGAACATTTTAAATGTATGGTGTGCATGCAGTCTAAGTTTGATAAAAGCAATGCGCCAGTGTCTTCCACTGCACCAGAGGACGGTAGGTGAGCTTAGGGGACAAAGGGCAGGCCTGCTCTACCTTCCAAAATCCTATCACTGTCCTCTGCCTTCCAGAATCTGCCACCTGAGGCAGCCACCTTATTCTGCCTAATGGTAGGGTTGGCCCTGCATGATAGTTATATGGAACCTTTGAGTTTGGAGGCTGCATGCCACTGGATACCAGCTGATGGGAACAACTGGGAGCAACAGTGGGAGAGAGCTATTGCCCTGTTGGCACTGTGGGATTCTGGACTAAATGTGCTTTTTGGGGTTGGACTAGATTACCCTCGGGGTCCCGTCCAACTCTGCAATTCTATGATCCCGCAGGGCTTTTCTCATGTTCTTGTGATGTGTTGCCACTTCCCCCCCAAATCCTCTGCAGCACATTTCTCTGCATCACTCATAATCTTCCAGTTCAGCAGCTTCAGACTCTTTAAGTTAAGCGGTTGCTGCAGTTCAGCTGCAGAGGGAGAGAAAGAGAGAGAAAAGGAAAGAGAGTGATTGCTGCCATATATAATCTTCTCCACCTGCAGTAATCTGGCTTTTCTTCCCACACTTCATTCCTCCCTGGGATTCTGAACAATAGCTAAAATTATCTGTTTTGAGTTTGGTGCCAAATTTCAACATGTCATAATAGCTCCTGATGCTGTCACACACATTATAGCAACTTGAGATGCCAATTTGTTTCCAATGCTTGTCAATCCCTGCAATGAGAATCTATGACTTGAATAAATCCCTCCAATGATTGTGATTCTGTGTTGTATACTTCTGGGCATTATTATTATTATTAATATTATTATTATTAAACCCCATCTTTGAAAAGTGTATGGCCTGATTTTTGGATTCATAAAAAGCCTGGCAACTACACCTCAAACTTTTAGAATTTTGCAGTTACAGGGTTGACAGTGGCAGATCCTAGCAGCTGCTCAAACATCCCATGTTTGGCAGCAAGCAGGATGCTAGTTTTTGTAGAAAAAGAAACTGAATGGGTGGACTACAGTACGTACTTGAGCACCAAGGACAGAGTTATAGGTGCAGTCTATAGGTCTGGAAATAGCAAGCCTGTTCAGAAGCAGTAGAGGAGCAAAAAAAAATAAATCGATTCCTTGCACTATACATCTACACTGCAATTATTATTATTATTATTATTATTATTTATTAAATTTGTATACTGCCCTGCCCTGCAGGTCTCAGGGCAGTTACAACATAAAAACACAATATTAAAAAATTACGTAATACAGTGGTACCTCAGGTTAAGTACTTAAATCATTCCAGAGGTCCGTTCTTAACCTGAAACTGTTCTTAACCTGAAGGACCACTTTAGCTAATGGGGCTCCTGCTGCCGCTGCACCGCCGGAGCACGATTTCTGTTCTCATCCTGAAGCAAAGTTCTTAACCTGAAGCACTATTTATGGGTTAGCGGAGTCTGTAACCTGAAGTGTATGTAACCTGAAGCATATGTAACCCGAGGTACCACTGTAAAGTACATAATAAAAACATAATAAAACAAAAACAACCCAATAACCCCCCTCCCCAACCCATTTTAAAAGCCCATTGGATGCCAATCAGCCAAAGAGAGAAATTTTGAAAACACATGACTAATGAATAAGCTGCTGGAGAATGAGTGTAGGCATGTGTACACAAACTTTGTGTGTGTGTGTTAGAGAGAGAGACAGAGCGACAGAGAGAAAGAGAATATGAAAACTTCGCAAATAGAAACTGACAATGTAAACCTCAACAAGGGAATAGAATGACAAGTAGCTGCAGGGGAAGAAAAGCAGCCACTCACAATTGTAAGAGAGATCACAAAAGTGGGAGAAAAGGACCTGACCTACATCTTTGTATTTAGCAAGTTAGCAAATGACATCAGTGAGAGAAGAGGGTCTCTGTGAAATGGTTTATTTTAAGACATAAATCTGTCAGATGGTTTACAGGCTAGTGAAACCAGTCATACACAAAGCAGCCACAAGGCCTGTGCACAAAGCATCCTATACTTTCAGGCCCTCTTGCATAAAAAGAAACATTTCCAGTGCTGATAGACACTTGGTAAGGGACACAGGAATCTAGACCACAAAGAACTTTATAGGGTACCAACAACAACATAAATTTGGTGCAAGAAATAACCAAGAGGCCAGTACAGCTGCTGCAAAATGACAAATACAATTTTGTATGAAGTTTTGTTGCTCCTCACCTGAGTTACGGATTTCTCCTTCTGAAGTCTTCAGGACCATCCCTATGTATAGAGACCAAACTACATGTAATCCTAAATGGGTATAAGCGTTCTATATGCATGTCCTTTATTCTTTAAGCTGCCAGGTTGCCTGACCATGGTGTGTTTAGGGAAGGCGATTTAATCTCTTCCCTCCCGTAGTTTTGTGTCATAGATAAACACTTTCAAAATCAGTAATCCTGGTACACTTTGCAGCAATGGAAAGTTAGGTCAACTGGACTCTGGGAATGCTTTTCCTTTTTCAGGGCTGATGGCAGCATGATGGATGGGTTGGATAAAAAACATCCTTTCACCTGATCCTCCCTGGGATGCAAATGATATAATTTGAAATACAGATTCATAGTAGCTCAGCTCCTGGGCAATTGGAGTCACCCACAATGCATTGTCTGCCTTTCCTTTGCCCTCTTCAGGAAAGGCTCAGGTGTCTTAGGGAACTGAGGTGTTCTGTGTGCCTGATGAAATTCAATACAGCCCTTTGTTCTCAGTGGGAACGGCTGGGACGGGATATGCAAAAACATCTGCAGCCTAAGGTTCAAAAATAGGGAAAGTGTTCCGGCACATGAAACTTTAAAAAAGAACCAAACCCAAATGCTTGTGACTTTTATTACTGGCTGCCAACTGCAAGCAAGTTGATTTACATTTCAAGCCTACAAGCTCTCCGCAATTATCTCTTCTGATTTTCATTCAGCCGTTCCAGCTCTCTGAAAGCATTTATTTTGCGGGGGAAAAATCAGAGTTGCTTGCATTCATCCAAGCGAGAGAGAAAACATTGCTCTGGTTCCTCTCTCCCAACCCCTGCAAATCAGGCAAATAGAAGGGCTGATAAGGAAATGTTAGATTAGATTGCAGAAATGGATAAAATCAAATAACATCAAAAAAGCCCTGGGGAGGGCCTGTTTATTTTTGTATATTGCTCTGTCTGGGAACCAGATGATGACAGGTTAATGGATGTGGAGTGAGAGGTTTCTTTGGCAATCCATTCCCATGTCATGTGTTGGAAAGAATGGATCCTGTGCTCTGTTTCCAATTTAAAATCAATGGGGCTTGCATATGCTTCTTGGCATGCTGGATAACAGCCCTTTTCTCTTAGCAAGCATTTTCAATGGGATGTTGGGTTTTCACAGAGTTCATGGCAGCCTCATGTCATTGGCTGAGCAGCGCTTGGGCTGTAAGTATTCGGAAATGTCTAAAACACTTCAGACAATCCATTTGGCACAGCTTTGGGGGAGGGCAGCAGGAAGTGACCTAACCTTTCAGGATATTTCTCAGACTTGTGTCATAGTTTAACCTGGAACTAAAATAACTGGCTGTTTCCTTTTCCCTAGGGCACCAATGCCTCTGCTCTGGAAAAAGACATTGGGCCAGAGCAATTTCCAATCAATGAACACTACTTTGGACTGGTCAATGTAAGTATTACTGCTGCGGTGTCAGTTTCTGAAAACATATTTTATGACTTTCCCTGTCGCACCTCGGAGTACTGTCTAGAGTTGGAGATGTGTCCTCCATTTTGCTACACCTCCCTCCACCACCCCACCTGCTGGGTTAGGCTCCTATGTTGCCCCACGGCAGTGGAAGGGGTTATGGTCGAGAGAATATGTAGCTTCTGCAGCACTGGTAGAACACCAGGAGAAGAGCATAAGAGGAGCGCTGTTGACCAGATTGACTAATTCAGCAGGTCTAAAGGCAACCTGGGTGCAGCCTGGTGGGAATGGTATATTCTCCATGCCTGGGGCTGCCTGGTTGGTGGTGGTGGTGACCTGTGACAGGGCCTTTTCAGTGGTGGTTCCTCATTTGTGGGATGCCCTCCTTAGTGAGGTGCAACTGTCTGCATCATTATTAGCTTTCAGGAGGAATCTGAAACCTTCTTGCTAACCTAGGCATTTAGTGGCTGCAGAATACTTTTCCTGGTGACCCTGACATCACTGGATGAAAATTTGTTTTTATTTGTAATTTTAGAATGTTTTAACTGCTTTTGGAATGCTTTTTTTTAATGTGGATGTGTTTGCTGCTTTGGGCACCTTAGAGAGGAAGGGCAGTTTATAAATCCTATCAATCAAATGCAGTTTGGTTGTTATCATGCATCTTACCCTGAGCAGCAGTACAGACAACATACCAGCCCACACCCTGATATCAGAGTTTGGTCTCAGCCAGAGCCTGTCAGCCAGGGACCCCTGGGATTTCTGGAGATAACAACCACTAAGCCTAAACCTTCTGAGGAACTGGTCTCTTGACCCCAAAGACCTCCACTCCCATGTCTGGCAGGCAATGAACTTGGTGTTGGGGTGGAGTGCTCACTCCAGGTGAAATGACTGCCTCTTTAAGGCCTTCTACATTACTAGGAAGGGGCAGAACATGCAAAGTGTAATATTTCCCAAGAAGGATAAAAGCCCTCCATCCAGCTTTAGACTTGCTGAGAGTAAGTTGCTCACTGGAAGTTTTCCAGTGGTCAGTAACTCTACACTGCGTTGTGGACTATATTCTGGCCCGTGGGCTTCTGCTTGAGGTCAGGATAGGACACAGGTGTGGGCAGGTGCATCCACATGTTCTGTATACAATAGATTGGGACATTCTTCCACGTGATTCCCCCTGATTTGTGGTCACTGAACAGATGATCTGCCCCCAAGTGCACAGGTATGGATAGTATGCCAGGTGCGCAGGAAGGAGAAACTACATGTGCCTCTCTGTGTGTTGAGCCAGTACATCATCCGAACTAGCCCACTTTTACCATGTTGACCATACTTTAAGTAAAATAGAATTTGTAAAGGTCCAGCCACCCTGTTTTGAAAAGGAAGCGAGTTCTGCATGTGAAGCATGCATTTATGCCTTATCATAATAGGTTTTTAAAATATGGTACATATATATATTCAGGTGTAGGTCATGCATGGTAAAGGGCTCTCTGGGTCACAGACAAAATTTATTTTGATGAGTGCTTTGAATACCAATTTTGGGAACTTCTAGAATAGTGACACTGGGCCCCTCCAGGTGTGCCTTTTATTATTCCTTTATTTATGCTCGTGATGGAAATGGGACAGTTTTATGCAATGGTACTTTCAATGCTGTTTGCACCTGGAAAAACATTGGAATGGACGTCCCACTTCATTTCCAGTCAGTGCGTGTCCTGTAGCTTCCTGCTGAAACCCTGTAACATTTTATTCCACAAGTGTTCCAAGAGAGGTGGTGGGTGTCCCTTTGTGCTATAATGAAATATAGTGAAATCCAGTAATACAGTAATACTGGAAGAGCATTGTGAAACAGCTATGAAGCAGAATGATGTGTGGATGGTCCAGTAAAAACCTGGCACTAATGCACTGTTACTACATCAATTACGTGTTGCAGAATGCAGAAAGCCTGCAACTTACATGCATTTAACTTGTGCACATTCAGCTTTACGTGCATGACTAATGATGATGATGATGATGATGATAGCAGAAAGGGTGTGGGGCTCCGAGGGCCTTACAGTGAGAAGTGAGGTTGCAGGGAACTAGGCAGAGGGCCTTCTCGGTAGTGGCGCCTGCCCTGTGGAACGCCCTCCCATCAGATGCCAAGGAAAACAACAACTATCTGACTTTTAGAAGACATCTGAAGGCAGCCCTGTTTAGGGAAGTTTTAAATGTTTGCTGTTTTATCGTATTTTTTTATATTCTGTTGGGAGCCACCCAGAGTGGCTGGGGAAACCCAGTCAGATGGGCGGAGTATAAATAAAATCACAATCATAATCACAATCATAATATTCCAGGAAAATTGAGTTTGGCAATCCTGCCTGCCATTGACCTAATAGGTTTTGACTATACATGATTTTGGCTTTAGGCATAACCCCCAGAGTGTAACCCCTGCATAAGTTGCAGACTTACTGTGAATCCACAAAAAAGCACCAAGTCTGAAGGCACCCACTGTAAACATTTAAACATTTAAAACCATGTTATGCCTGACACCAGAACAAAACGGAAGAAGCCTGTTTTAGCATTACGTAATTTTTATTCCTAGCTAAAGAGTAATACTTTGAAGCTCCACATACAGACCCGTTGACCTACATTCAGTCTACAGTTATAGATTTCTCCTCTTCTACCGAGAGGAGAAAATACTGAGGCAAGGGAGATAGGATATTGGGTGTTGCACTAAGCTGCACTTCATGATCCGCTCTCTCCCGTCCCCACTTATATTTTGCAGTTTGGAAACACGTGCTACTGCAACTCCGTCCTGCAAGCCCTGTATTTCTGCCGGCCCTTTCGGGAAAATGTGCTGTCCTACAAGGCCCAGCAGAAAAAGAAGGAAAACCTCCTGACTTGCCTTGCGGACCTTTTCCACAGTATTGCCACGCAGAAGAAGAAAGTTGGAGTGATTCCACCCAAAAAGTTCATCTCGAGGTTACGAAAGGAGAATGGCAAGTATAGACTCGCACATCCTTTCAGACCACGGCCCTGATCCCAAACCATTCTGGAAGGCTGCCGAGAGAGGAGAGGAGGGAGGAGTGGGTGTCCTCTCAGATATGCCTATGCTTTCTGGTCAGTTCTGCTGTCCAGTCCTCTGCATCGCCTCGAGACAGACGCCAGAGAAGGGAGTAGAGACAGTCGCAGCCCCCGTGAGGCCCAGTCCTTCCCTGTTGAGGACAGAGGCAGAAGTTAGAACAGTCATACCTTGGAAGTCCAACGGAATCCATTCTGGAAGTCCGTTCGACTTTTAAAGCCTTTGGAAACCAAAGTGCGGCTTCTGATTGGCTGCAGGAAGCTCCTGCAGTCAGTTGGAAGCCCCGTCGGATGTTTGGCTTCCAAAAATAGTTTGCAAACTAGAACAGTCACTTCCGGGTTTGCGATGTTTGGGAGCCAAAACGTTCGAGAACGAAGCTGTTTGAAAACCAAGGAATTGCACAAAACAAATGAAATACCGTGAAAATCCCTGAAATGAGAAGTAATCGACTATAAATATTATCTTGTGGAAATCAACTAAATAATAAAAATCAAAAAGCTTAAGGAAAGAATTAGAAAAACCTAAAATAGAACAATGCCTTAATGGGATGCCGGCTACAAACCTCGTTTCACTGAACTATTCAGTTTCCTCAGAAGGAAATAGAAAAATCATAAACTTTAAATGACCAAAATTCAAACGGGTAGAATCCCAAAAATTCTGGGATACCTAGATCGACCTAGATGAAGCAAAGTGCAGTGATAAAGGATTGAGGACTCAAAAGTACTGTTTCTAATACTGAATTTACAAAAAAGGTTTATCTTGTATTCCTTTCTTTGAATTTGTGCCACTTAGGTTTTTAAACCTTTTTGTAAAAGCAGCACTAGAATTTTCACAGTTGAGTCCTTAACCCTTTATTATGGTGCTTTGCTTTCTTCAAATTGAGCTTTGTTTAAAACTTGCTATTTAGGTTTCGAACCTTTTTTGTAAATTCAGTATTAGAAACTACAATCTTCCTTGATACACTGCTCAGTGAAAGAGGGGGAGATGCAATTCAGAGGGTGAGGTGGCTACTTCTTCAAGGGTCCCTCCTTGCTTGCTTGTGTGCTCTCTCTGGGCAGTCTTGCTGGGCCCAGATTCTCCCTGTCACACCAGAACGTGAGTGAGGGGGCAGAGGCAGAAATAACCACCAAGGGAAATGACAGGTGAGCAATCAGATGCCCTGGTGGCTGCATGGACCACACATGGGCAAGCAAGTGAAGGCAGCCCTGTGCTGACTGTCCTCTCAGGCTGTGGGGAGGAGGTGCTGCTCCTGCCACTGCAGATATTAGCATGGAACAGAGTGGGGACGATCACCCACAATGACCCAAACCTTCCGTGGGGCCCTCCCCCATGGTTGGAGGTCAGTGCTGGTGGGCTCTCTTAAGGTATAGGCCCTTGACAGCTGCCCAACAGCGCTGAACCCTGACTAGCCACAACGCCAGAAGCCGTGAAAATATATGCCTTCCTCCTGTTTTTTTTTACAGATCTCTTTGACAACTACATGCAACAAGACGCCCATGAGTTTTTAAACTACTTACTGAATACCGTCGCTGACATTCTGCAAGAGGAGAAGAAGCAGGAAAAGCAAAATGGCAAACTGAAAAACGGCAACATGAACGAAGCGGAAGAGAACAACAAGCAAGAACTCACCTGGGTGCATGAGATTTTTCAGGGAACGCTGACTAACGAAACGAGATGCTTGAACTGTGAAACTGTAAGCACTGGGCTTGTTGGGCTGATAATAGTTAGATTACTTTATAGCAGCTTGTAGAGCTAAATATGTCGCTTTATGAAGCCGTTCAAGAAATATGAGTGTTTCTATGGAGTAAAGCAGCTATTGTCTATGTATATTTATTTGGGGCTTTTGATAACTTTGGTTAATCGCCCCCCCACCGTGTTGAATCTTCCTCAGACAAGGACAAATTATTCCCCAACCTTGTCTCTTTGCATACAAATATGGGAAGCTGAATAATACTGAGTCAGACCATCTAGTTCAATATTGTCTGCACTGAATGGCAGTGGTTGTGCAGGATTTCAGTCAGGAATCTTTCCCAGCTCTAACTGGGGGTGTCAGGATTTGAACCTGGGACTTCTGCATGCAGAGCAGATGATCTGCATGTAAGCTTTGGTCCTTCCCCATAAGAGAGCCCCACATGTGACATATTGCATCTTAAGGTATTGTAAATGTGTACATGTTTTCACTGAGGGATAATTTGAGTTTGGAGCAGCTCCAGGAATTACTTGTGGCAAAATAAGAATGAGGTTACCCTTCTCCAAACTTCTGATATCCCCTTTTTCTGAAACGGAATTGGAGGCACACATCACTCTTAAACCTCAGTTGGCATAGGCCAATCTATGTTCTTAGGTTGGTACTCTAGTGTGTTTGGCGTTCCCAACACAGTTTTCTTCCCATGGGGGTGAGAACTGAACAGGATCACATTGTGGTGAGGAGAGGGTCTAATCAGGGTTTCCCAAACTTGGCTCTCCAGCTGTTTTTGGACCACAACTCCCATCATCATGACCATTAGTAAGGGATGATGGGAATTGTAGTCCAAAATCAGCTGGAGACTCAAGTTTGGCAAACCATAGGTAAAGGGTAAAGGGACCCCTGACCATTAGGTCCAGTCGTGACCGACTCTGGGGTTGTGGAGCTCATCTCGCTTTCTTGGCCAAGGGAGCCGGCATACAGCTTCCGGGTCATGTGGCCAGCATGACCAAGCCGCTTCTGGTGAACCAGAGCAGCGCACGGGAACACCGTTTACCTTCCCGCCGGAGTGGTACCTATTTATCTACTTGCACTTTGACGTGCTTTCAAACTGCTAGGTTGGCAGGAGCAGGGACCGAGCAACGGGAGCTCACCCCATCACAGGGATTTGAACCGCCGACCTTCTGATCGGCAAGTCCTAGGCTTAACCCACAGCGCCACCTGCGTCCCTTGGCAAACCATGGTCTAACGCTAATGCACCAATCCAGATGACCTCATCACACAAACTGCTATTACATTGTTAAGGCTCCAGGTTTCTGTCACTAATGGAAATTTGGTGGGGGGCCATTTGGATCAAGGCTGTGCTGCAGGGTGGGGGGGGGAAGGATTAGACCCATTTCCCCAGCATTGCAGCCCTAATCCAAGTTGGGGTGTGTGAAGAGAGCCACGGTTGGACACTCTAAATGCAGAGTTCCAGCACAACAAGCTTGACCCTGGGAAAGACTTACCAGAGCTCGAAAGAACCCACCTCTGTGACAGCCACTGTGCTAGATGTGCCTCCCAAGGGAAAGGCAGACTTGGGCGCACACAGAGCCCAGGGTGTGCTCTGAAGGTAAATGAAGCTACATGGGAGGGAACTCCACATCTGCCCCCTTGCATTCCACAATGGAAGGCGCCCTTCTGTATTCCAGAGGCAGTAGTTCGGTTAGATAATTTTAGACTTAATTGTCTTGGCTTAGATAATCTTGTAGATGGTAATGCGCATTACTTCAAAATACAGTAAGTTGTGTGCTCTCTCTGGGCAGTCTTGCTGGGCCGCCCTGCTCATTCTGTGGAGTGGTCCTTGAACGTTTGCCCTCAAGTCCTGCCCTGTTTGTGCCTTCCTCAGATAGCAAGCCAGAATTATCCGACTAGGCTAAAGTCCTGCTGAATCAGTGACTCATGCAGTAAGGCGTTGAGTAGGTACTTTGAGAGAGTAGTTCAGATTCCCCGGAGCCCCTAATGATGGAATTAATTAATTTTTTCCTTGATCAGTAGCGGGCCTGTCGTCGCACACTAGTGTGCCCTGGAAAACAGTTTGGTCATTAGTGGATTAGATGAAGACAGTCTCTTATAATTGCACCACTAATATCGTATTGTGCCGTTTTGTGCTTCAACTTTCTGATGAGGGCATATTAGGACCATTTATGTAACAGTGTTCAAGTCAAAGGCCGTTGCGGCCTTTTTTATATTCACTGTTGCAGCATCCCTGTGAAGTCATCACTCTTATTCATATCTTAGAAATAGGGTGAGAAACAGAATGTGTGATCGAGGAGGCAGGGAGGTTCACATGAGAGTTGGGCTTTGGATGGATCTGGGCCTCTTAGGTGGAGCCTGAGAGCAGCCCTTTCCCTCAGGTTGACTGGCTTACCCCTCAACCTGAAAAACAGTCAGAAATATGACTTATCATCTGAATTGTCATTGTCAGATTTGGGGCAAGGTAAATCTTGACTAAGATTGATATCTGCTTCTTTGCGCAGTTTAGCTTTTTTGGATTAAGTCGCATGCTGTGCTAAAGGGTACTAGGTGAGAAAGAGAGAGCCCTGGATCCAGATTCCATGTGTCAACACATAATTACTGTATTTATGAGATTTTGCCATAATCAGTTTCTTGAAATAAGCAAATATCCTTATTTTATTCTTTCAATATAAAGTAGTTACAAGGTATTATTTCTGCTGTGTGTAACAAGTAATGTTTGTTGTTTGAAGCAATCTATTTCTCCCCTTCAAACAGGGGAGAAAGGGTCTAGTGGCAGCAGTATAAGCAAACATACAAAAGGGGTTGTATTCTCATACCCATGTTCAAAGTGACTCATATAATGGATTTCAGCAGGACAAACTCTGGAATGAAGAACTTTCATCCCACAAATCTCTTCCCCGCAGTTGAGTTTGTATCTACAGTTCCTAATCTTAAGAAAAACTCAACTCAACTTGTGTGGTTATAGTTCTGCTGATGTCAGTGACATTATGTAAACGCAAGCATTTCTTAAAGCACCTCGCAATATGAGCAAGAGAATCTGTAATTGGATCAAAGCAGTGGCACTAGAGAGTAGGGATCCACATTTAGGTCTGATCTACTTATAACAGTACTCACAACTCAGAGAAATTGAAGAGAGAGACTTTTAAAACAGCCATGTTGTTGTTGTTTAGTCGTTTAGTCGTGTCCGACTCTTCGTGACCCCATGGACCAGAGCACGCCAGGCACTCCTGTCTTCCACTGCCTCCCGCAGTTTGGTCAAACTCATGTTGGTAGCTTTGAGAACACTGTCCAACCATCTCATCCTCTGTCGTCCCCTTCTCCTTGTGCCCTCAATCTTTCCCAACATCAGGGTCTTTTCCAGGGAGTCTTCTCTTCTCATGAGGTGGCCAAAGTATTGGAGCCTCAGCTTCACGATCTGTCAACAGCCGTAGCTTGGGCCAATTATATGGAGGTGAGGCTGGTGGGGAACCCCAGTGTATTGGAAGGGGTCTTTGGAGCATTGGTTGTGAGCGGTGCGGTAGAAATTTCTCTACCTCAGCAGGTCCAGAGTTAGAGGGTATTCTTGGCCCTTTCCTGGATAAGCACGTAGAAGCAGTGTTGGAGTTTATGCATACTCCTCTTTTCAGAGAAGGGGGATTTCATTGTGGTTTTATAACTTATAGGACTGATTACTGCACTGCCCCTTACTGGGGAGCACTACCGAGAGCAACTCTGAAGACAACTCTGAAGCTGCAATTGCTACAGAATGTTTGCTCTCCTGACAGGCACAGGGAAGTAAGGTCATATGCAACTGATATTGCAGGTTTCTTCTGCTCAGTTCAAGGTGCTGGTGCTTATCTTTGCAATGTTTCATGACCTGTGGTCAACATTGTATAGAAAAGCCTTTGTCAACTGGCTAGGGTCGATGGAAGTTGTAGTCCGAAACCACAGGAGAGCACCAGGTTGGCAGAACCTGCTATAGACTGCCTCTCAAAATATGAAGTTCAGTACACTGTCTGGGCTCTGCAGGAAGGCTGGAGAGGAAGGGGGAATGCTATACTCAATACAGGTGTAACAATTATGCTAAAACAAACCTTAGTTGGCAAAAATCCCACACACCCTCAAATCGCAGTTTCATGTCCTGGTTTGTGTCCAGTCCTTAACTATGGTGGAGGCATTTCTGTAACCATAGTTACAGAAGACAAACCATTCTTAGGTATCCCATCATAGAGCTGCAAGAGATTAATATGCCTCCTTTTCCCTAACTGCTTTCAAAGACAGGACCATTCAGCTCCACAACTTGAACCTAAACCTTTTAATAACTTGTTTTGGTCTACTCATCTGCCCCACTGCTTAATTCTTTCTGCAATGTTGGCATCATCTTCTAGGTTTTGATGTTGTGCTGACATAATGGTAGGCATTTGCTTTGCTGGTGCAGCTAGTTTTAGGATCAAGCTGTTGGTTGTGCAGTGCTCAGAAATATTATTGCCTCCTATTTTTGTCGCAGGTTAGCAGCAAAGATGAAGATTTCCTCGATCTCTCTGTTGATGTGGAACAGAACACATCGATTACTCATTGCTTAAGGTAAATGAGCGGCTGTAGAAATGTGTGTTGAAAAAAAGTGGGAGCAGGTTTTTGCTGTCTGATCATTTTAGATTAGTGGGATTTGAAAGGAAGAGCAGCATGAGAGTTATGGTATGATATGGCATAAATCGAATCAAGAAATATAAATGGAACTTTTTTTGGAAGTAGGAATATAAATCAATCCTGCTGCAATTGAATATTCAGGAAGAAACTACAGTTTTTCAATCTTTCAATTGCTTACTCCAGGGAGGTTCCACTGAAGGCAGCAGATTTACTCTGGAGCAAATAGCTTGAGAATGGTGTGCATGCATGCATAACATGTACTTCCTGGGAAAGTAATATACCATCTGTCAATCAAAGGGCTTATGAATAATATGGAGCATTTATCCCAAGTATTAGAAAACTTTATTTATCACAGTAGTTAATCTGAAAGAAGTCGTTAAGCATCCATTAGGTCCCACTGAATTAAATACAACTTTGAATTTAGATTTACCAGAGCTATACTGAACTAAGAGTGCAATTTAACACATCTTTCCGAGTTCAGAACCTGCTCGAGCCTTGTTATCAGTTGGGTCCAAGACTTAGCAGTACTTGGAAGTCAAAAATCCCCCTTTGCCTGCCTGTGCATGTGTACACACACACAGATGCATTCTCTCTCAGGTTTATTGCTTCAGCTCTTTAGGCAGGTGACTGCATGAGTCCATCTTCATGAAAACATAGCTCTTACCTAAGGGATCACATTCTCTTCTGCTTCCCATCATGAGACGCAAGTTCTATCCCAAATGCTTATACAGTCGTACCTTGGAAGTCAAACGGAATCCATTCCAGAAGTCTGTTCAACTTCCGAAACATTTGAAAACCAAATTGTGGCTTCTCATTGGCTGCAGGAAACTCCACCAGGAGTGGTGGAGGGTGTGGCTGAAGGGGGGCTGTGGCCTGAGGAAAGTCATATGGGATGCATGGAGACCTGAATTTGGCCTCTGGATCTGAGGCTCTCCACCCCTGGCTTAGTGGGTCATACATTCTGTTCTTGGTTGTCCCATTTTTGTGTGGGAATCTGGATGTAGAGAAGCACTCTCAGTACCATTTCCATAGTTGTTTGTCTTCCTTATCCTGGAAACTCATCAAAGTGTAAGCATTTTCAGAAGAGTACTTCAGGACTGGACTACTGTAATGCACTCTATGTGGGACTTCCCTTGTGCTTGGTCGGGAAAGTGCATGGCATCATTTTATAACCTTTGTGAATGCTACTGGCATTTGTTTACTTCTTAAATTTCCCTCTTGTCCTTCTTCCCAAATGGGCCCTGTGAAGCCAACACCAAAGTTGCAAAACAGTATGAATGAAAATAAAATATTTGAAACATTAAAAAAAATCCAAAATGTATATATATATATATATATATTTTACCAATCATGAATATATAAAAAATCTACAAGAGTCAAAAACCCTCAAAGCTAATACAGTGGTACCTCGGGTTACATACACTTCAGGTTACAGACTCCGCTAACCCAGAAATAGTACCTCGGGTTAAGAACTTTGCTTCAGGATGAGAACAGAAATCGTGCTCCGGCGGCGCGGCAGCAGCAGGAGGCCCCATTAGCTAAAGGTGTGTTCTTAACCTGAAACTGTTCTTAACTAGAGGCATGCTTTTGCTAATGGGGCCTCTTGCTGCTGCTGTGCTGCCGGTGCACGATTTCCATTCTCATCTTGGGGCAAAGTTCTCAACTCGAGGTAACTCTTCCAGGTTAGCGGAGTTTGTAACCTGAGGCGTTTGTAACTCGAGGTACCACTGTATTAAGATTTTGGACTCACTGTAGTTAACCCCTTGTAAGAGTACGAGCTCTTAACATAGAGTGACTTCAAATCATGTCTGCCCGCATGTGCAATGGAAATGAACCTTTAGCTGGCAGGTTTCCCAAGTGTATTTTGGAAATTATAATTGCCATGTTTGAGAACAGAAACTGCATTGTTTGACCTTAATTGTATAAACAGTGTTGAGCAGGAAAGAGAAATAAGTAAACAGGAGCTATTTCAGAGGCAATAGCTCAATTAGTCTTGCTTCCCTTTACTACTACAGCAAACTCCCCTTCCTCTTAGTTATCGTTGAAAGAAAAATCCCTTTTGTGTTTAAGCCCCCAAACATAGTTCTTTTCCTCTGGGCATCAGTGCTGGCATTAAAAGAGGAATTCATAAAATAACACAATAAATTATGTATCAATTATTTTTATTTCCATGAGGAGTTGAAAAGGCCAGCTGGTTCTGTCAGTTTTACCTCTTTTTTTCTTAGAAAAGCATTTGCCCCATGAATAAACCAACACCTCCAGCATATTTCTGTCTAAGAATAGTTTATATGTCTAGCTTTTATCCAGAAATTAGAAGTTTTATTTTAGCTAGGTCAAAATGAAGTAATCTGTCATCTGCTGAATGTAAAACAAGCATTTCTTATGCCTGTGAAAACCACGCTTCAATAAAATTTGAAGAGCAGAATGAGTGCCCATCTGTACTATACATTTAAAGCAGCACCACAGGACTTTAAAGAGGCCTGCTTTCCCTCAAAGAATTTTGGGGACTGTAGTGCGTTACAGATTCTCAGAGATGTTGGGAGATCCCTATTCCCCTCACAAAACTATAATTCCCAGAGCTCCCTGGAAAGAGCGATTGAGAGTTAAACCAGTCTGAGAAGCATAGTTCAGTGAGAAGACTAGGAGGTCTTCTAACAACTCTCAGCACCCTTAACAGTTCCCAAGTAAGGCGATCCTGCAAGTATATTCTCTCTGACCACTGTGTTTGAGTTACAGTCAAACAACTGTACAATATTTTGCAACCAGCTCGGGGCATTTGGGATGGGAAGGATGAAACTGTAAGCACTGTTCCCTCCGTTGATTTTTCAGAGACTTCAGCAACACAGAAACATTGTGCAGCGAACAAAAGTACTACTGTGAGACTTGCTGCAGCAAACAAGAGGCACAAAAAAGGTAAGCAAAGCACCTTGTGGCCTGGTCCCAGGGAGGCTAGTATAAATTTTAAAGCTGAAATAAAACGAATTCTTCCTGCTTTCAGTTCTGCAAAAAACAGTAACAGAGGTGTGCCTATGTGGGAACACCGTATCAAGAATAGGGACCTGTTTATAAATAGAATGGGCACTTATTAAATTTACATTTTTATTATTGATATCATGGACTCCCTTTTGTTTGTATTTAAAATATTACACTGTTGTTGTTGTTGTTGTTTGTTTCTTTAAAAAAATAGTTTTTATAACAAAATAATTGCTGGTTGCTTTTTTCCCCTTTGGAAGAAAAAAAAGAAAACCTGCACAAGTTCTGTTCTTATCCAGTGATATTATTTTGACTTCATAGGATGAGGGTTAAAAAGCTGCCAATGATCCTTGCATTGCACCTGAAGAGATTTAAATACATGGAGCAGTTACATCGGTATACCAAGCTCTCTTACCGCGTGGTATTTCCTCTTGAGCTGCGTCTCTTCAACACATCCGGGGATGCTATCAACTTGGATCGCATGTATGACTTGGTGGCTGTAGTAGTTCATTGCGGCAGGTAAGCAGCATTCTCCTTCATTTATAAACTCTAACGCGAACCCCAAAGATCCTATCCAGCAAATGATTTAAGTGCGCTGGACAGTTCTGAACACCGTTGGACATTTAATGTTCTCCCTTCAGCATTATTAGAGGGCATGTATCATGACATCCCAGTGGAACAGAGATGGTCTCCATGTAATTCTGATGGCATTGTGTCCCATTTGGCACATTCTTCTATATTGCCCACTGTATTGTGATACCCGAAGAGAGCTAATTCAACTGTTACTTAGGAAACTACCCAGCCACTCAGAGGAAACCTATGTTAAATACTTTCTTGCTGAATATCACCAGGCCTGTCTTAAAATTCTGTTTTATGGCAACGAGGATAAGACAGGCTGCAGTGACAGTGATGGTCGATGAATGAGTACTGATGTTAAACTCTGGAACATAGATTTTAACTCAAGGAGTGCTATTTTTAATGCAAATAAGTTTAAAGGGAATTTTTAATTTCATCTACTGCGTCTGCCACTTGGTGCTGATGCAGTGTGAGTTGCTGTTGTAAATTCTGCTGTCTGACTGTGGTCAGATTGATGCTTTAATGAAGCATCAATCTGACCACAGTCAAGATTGATGCTTCATTAAAGAAAATAAATCCTGTGCAGAAGAAGCAGTATAATTTCCTTTAGTCAGTGCTTTTTTTCTTAAAAAAATATTTAGCAGTACTCTCATTTTCCTACTCATTTTGAAATACTGCCCCTCAATGAGGCCAAACTTAGATTCACACAATGTTTAGGGGTATGCGTACCCCCAGAAAAAAGCACTGCCTTTAGTATTCAGGAGTGCCTGTCAGTTTGGAAACAAAACAGGGCCACCTAAAAATAAGGGTTTATGCACCCAAAAATGTGGTTTCTACACATTTGGGGTACTGCCTAGGTATTCTGGTGTGTATAAGCTTGCAAATTAAATTATTATTATTTTTATTACCCAAATGGCATAACAAGCACATATGAACTACCTTGATTGAAAGTCATAATGTTAAGGTATCAGTTGAAACAGAGATGGAAAATAAATTGGATGTGGGAGAAGATAGAATTCGCCTGTTCAAGCCTTAACATCTTCTAGACAATACCCTGGAGGGGAGAATTATAGTTGCAGGGAATGCAACTTTTATGTCTAGAAGGTTGACTCAGTTGTGTCCTTATTCTTTTTTTTAATTTAATGGTGTTTCTTTTCTTTTAGTGGACCTAATCGTGGACATTATATTACCATTGTGAAAAGTCATGGCTTTTGGCTATTGTTTGATGATGACATTGTAGAGGTCAGTATACTTGTTCCTGGGATGTGGCTTATAGCTTGAAGGTTAGCCCCCCCCAATAAGAGCAAGCCCCCAATACTGGCAAACATAAAAACCAATGGGACTTATGCAAGGATCCTAATTTTTAATTACCCTCAGGTGTTCATTGCAGTCTAACCTACATATGCAACAGAGCAAGATAGCAGAATGGATGGAATCCCCTCCGGGTGTAGATAGAGGATTCTGTTTTTAGTTTTCTCCCTACTTAAAAAAACTCTCCATCAATATAAAACCAGCACAGCAGCCCTGAGATAGAACCCTTTTCTCTGATATACTATGGAAGGAATTCAATGTAGCACCTTGCCATTTGTTCCATTGGCACAAGCTTTTTTGTTTGCCGGATTAAATTATCCCCCCACTCCTCCCTCCACACACTGTTTTGGTGGGTTCTCCTGACCCCCACAAGCTAATTTTAGTTGCATATAGCATAATAAGCCCAAGATAAAATGAAAAAAAAAATTACAAGTAGAATAATAGCCAGTTACCTGCTTCATAAATGGAACATCATCGCAAACAGTGATTCTTCCTCGCCCTGCTCCCCGATGTTTCTTGAAGACCTTTTCATGCCAACAGGCCTACTCAGTTGTTTAAACTTTTTCAAGATGAGCCAGGCATTTGTATGGTTGTTTTATATTGTGTTTATGGTATTTTATGTTTTATTGCACCTGCATATTTTGCTGGACACAAGCCTAATATTTTATATGGAGGGGTTGTTCCTGTAAATATTTTTGAATAAATAAATAAAATCTCCCACAAACTTGGGAGTAAAGGGCACACCATAGATTTGAAAAATAAAAATGACGGTTGATACAGAAGGGCCGTGCTGCGACAGAATCCAAAATATATTTGAACCAAGTAGCTGTAACCTGAAGGCAGCTAGGATTACCTAGGCCTTCAGCTATCTGTACTTGGTTGGTTTATGTTTGCATACGCAGTTGTATCACATAGCCTACCTGCTCATTGTCTGGGTGAAAGAATTAGAGGCGCTTGCTCACCAAAGAAATTGTAGTCAGTAATAAGTTGAACAAAAGGTCTATATGTGAAGATAGAGGGGGCTTGGATGGAATAAAGTTAATTGATGTTCTTTCTCAATGGGACAATGCAAAATAAGCATGCCCCACAAAAGGTTTGTACTTCAAGTCACTCCAACCACAAACAGAAGAAAGATCTCAGCTGTCTGCAGCTATTGCAGTAACTTGCCAGCCTCTGTGCATTTTAAAGGCAAGTTTATATCTAAATGCCGCCTAAATTGAGAATTTGGAAGGAGCTGGACAACTATTTTGCCACCTTGTCTAAATTTCTAACAGAATTTTCCCTTGGGCAAAGCCTATTTGTTTTAATATTGTTACATCCATTTCCTTAATTTTTCTCCGTTAACATTTTGATTATTTTACCTTTGCAGAAAATCGATGCGCAGGCTATTGAAGAATTTTATGGTCTGACCTCTGATATATCTAAAAATTCAGAATCTGGATATATTTTATTTTATCAGTCAAGAGAGTGACTTGGGAAGACACTTGACTTTTTCCACCCCGAGAGGAGAAACTGACCAACACTGTTAACTGACTTCCATGTAGACTCATCCAATACAGTATGACAGTGATAAGCTCATGCCGAAATTGTGAACTAAGACTCTCCATCTTTGACTGGAAGATCTTTTTTTCTTTAGTCTGAATCTCATTAACTACTGCAAGAACAAATTTATACAGCTCGTGTTCATTTGCTGAATCCTGCTGAACTGAGGTATAATGTGGCATAGATGTTTGCACCACCACTAAGGACCATTTGTTCTCTGTTTCTAAAGAACCATTCCTTTAGGCTAGTGGTTTTCAGACCATGTTTTGAGGAACCTTGGGATTCCTGAGATGCCTGTCAGGGGTTCCTCAATGAGAAGATGCAATAGTAATGGTAGACATCCATCCCTTAATGGCAGCTTGCCTGCAGCTACCAATCTTCACCTGTAAAGGGCAGCTGTGGGGAGCACTGGGCTGTGTCCTAAGAGGCACTCTCACCGTTCACACAGGACACTAGTGAGCCCCAGGAAACCTAGCCAACACTCCAAATGAAATGTGCAGCCTAGAACACCCAACTCTTTTGCAAGAACTCTGGCAAATGCACAAGGGTTCCTAGGCAGAGCAATCAATGTGAAAAGTGTTCCCTTAAGTTGGAACGTTTGGGAAATTGCTGCTTTAGATACCTACTGAAATGTAACTCATATTCATGGATCCTCAATCTGGTTGGATTGTGGATTGTGTCACATGGTACTCTTCAACTAGAAAACTATTATCTCCCGATCCCCCTCAAGCTTTGGGTCATGAAACAATATCAAATTGGCAGCCACAAAACACAATGTTGCTCAGTCCCGTTTGAACCAAATTCCGCCAGTCTTCCTGTTTATCATGTGACAGCACAGATCAGCCAAACTGCTCCTTTGGATTCCCACACTGTAAAAGGCTTTAGGAGATTTTGCACTGAAAAGAAAAGGGGGGGAAGTTGTTCTTCCATGTTACTTTCACTGTGTGATGAGTGATAGTATCCTTTTATCCCAAAGAAATACCACAAAATGTCCTTGCTTACCTGAGTTTGCACATGTCTATATGAGTATCATGCATGCAAGCAAGTATTGGTTGTACAATCCAATTAAGCAATAGTGACCATGATCCAAAGCTCCATAGGATTTTGGTGCAGAGCTCCGTGCAAAGAGGAGTTTCTCATTCTTCCTGGTGTTTGGGGATGCATCATGGGCACATAAGAGATCCTACACGCAGATCGGAATCCCTGGATTTAAGTGAATATCCATCATATTATGCAGAGCTCTGGACTTGGACAGATGGCACTGATTGCACTGAGAGCCAAATTATGTGGCATTGCACAAAGATGTACTACATTTGTAGCCATATGTAATAAAAATCAGTTTTTAGGTTCCATCTGTTTGTCATGCTCTAGTGTGACGAACGCCGGAAACCTAAAGTAAATAGAACCTGGTTCAATTTCAGCTACTCCCATTAAGTACAAAGAAAACTGGCCCAAATTAGCGAAGCTGTTGGGTAAAATACAGAGCTGCTGATCCAATAGAAAGTTTCCCAGGGGTGAAGGGCAGATTTTGCTCTCATCTCGAGGATATGCAGTGGTGGCCAAACATGCTCTCTGGCCCAAACACTGGGTTGCCAAAGTTGTGCTGAGTGAGACTCCCATTTGAGGAAATACGTGTCTCTGCATGCCACCAGTAGAACCTGCAATATACAAATATCTCTGGCTCTTTTGCTCATCATATTCGCAGGCATTTTGCTTGTGTAATGAAGAGCATTTGGCCCTGCAGGAATTAACAGCATCAACAGCCATTAGCAATTTACTAGCATGAATTTGTGTTTTAAGACTATATGAATGTTTTGAGGTGTTCCCTGTTAGTTATGATAAATGCACTCTAGCTATTCAATAGCTGTTTAAAAATATTATTGCATAAGTCATGTTTAAATGCAAATATCAGAAGAGGAATGGGAATAATTTCTACTTTGCTGAATTAATGGATCTAAAATTGCAGAGTTGGATTGTCTTGACACTTGTAAGGTGCAGTGCATGGTCTTCGATCAAAATAAAAGGCAAATAAATACCCTGCAAGATATTCACGTTTGCAATACAAGAAACGAATAGGAGTACAATAAATGAATTGTGCAAAAGCTACTTCATGCTGACATATACCCTGGATTTGTGCAGATCTGAGTATGACTTCAAGTGAGAAAATTCCAGAAGAGATATACATTATTTTTTCTATTTTTTTAAAAAATATGCATGTATTTATTAGGAAAGAGCCCCTTTTAATACTTTCTGAATAGAGATCTAATTACAGTTTTACTGCTGTGCTGCTTATTTTGCCATAATTCAACACTGTTGGAACTTGCATCTTGGTTTTCCATCTGGGAATGAAAATCTTTCTTGTGCGCACGTGTTATGTACCTTTGTTACTTTGTGGTGATCTTACAGTATTGGTGAGAACACCGTTTACTGTGCATTTGGGACAGGAAACAGTGCATTTAGAACTACTTTGTAGCACCTTACATGAGCATAATTGGATATTCTTTAAAGTGCCATAAATTGTTTTATCTTTGTGGTGATCTAACAGAGTAGAGAGAGAGTCTTGCTTGCATGAATATTCCATTTGTTCAGCAGGGCTGTGGATACTCTGTGTACATAAATAGACACCTATACATAGATTAATAAAGCCTGTGTGTATTCCTGACCACTTGAAGTCCTGCTCAGACCCAATTTTGACAAATTAAATTTTATAGCAGGCATTCCCCACATCTTTTCCAAACATGTCAGTGGCAACAAAGATTAGAAATATATATATTTAAAAACAATTTGAAGAATTCTGACTTCTCAACAAGAGGCCAAATTCCACCCTTGCACAGTGCCGTCAAATGTATAAAAATATACATAGTCCTGAATATAGCATAAGAAGAATCATTCCTGATCAGACCAAAGGTCAATCAGTTTCAAACAGTAGCCAACCAAATGTCCCTGGCTAGCTTACAAAGGCAATAGCTCTTGCTTGCTTGTCCCCACTATCTGATACTTGGTAATATATTCTGAAAAAGAGTTAATTATAGCTAATGTCCTTTGATTCACCTAGGCCTCATGGATTTGTTGAATCCTTAAATATATATATCAATTTGAGTGATTAACTCTGTTCCTTTTCATTTCCCCATGATTCAATGTCTATGTACCTATTTCTGTTCTGCTAAACATCAAAAAACCATCCACCCAATAATACCAGTGATATTAATTATCTAGAGCTCAGTATTTCAGGAAGGCAAAATGTACACCTTTTGTGTTCAGTGCAAGAACACAATATAAATACATCGAAGGTCCCTATATGCAGAATGCTTGAGGGCTATTTAAATGGAATAACTGATGCTATTGAGTTACTGTGAACAAATACAGTGGTGCCCCGCAAGACGAAAAACTTGCTAGACGAAAGGGTTTTGCGTTTTTTGAGTCATTCCGCAAGACGAATTTCCCTATGGGCTTGCTTCGCAAGACGAAACATCTTGCGAGTTCTTGCGAGTTTGTTTCCTTTTTCTTAAAGCCGCTAAGCTGCTAATAGCCGCTAAGCCGCTAAGCCGTTAATAGCCGCTAAGCCGCTAATAGCCGTGCTTCGCAAGACGAAAAAACCGCAAGACGAAGAGACTCGCGGAACGGATTAATTTCGTCTTGCGAGGCACCACTGTACGTTAGTCTGCAGGTTCCTGACTAGGCTACTCGCTGAAGCAAAGGATGGAAGTGTTGGGTTTATATCAAGAAGACCTCAAATTGTGCCTGTCGTCTTTGTCACTGCACACACACACATGCATCACTTGATTCCTCAGTGGTTTATTTCTGACAGCTTCATATGTCGACCGGCTCAGACCTGTTTCAGATGTAATGGAAAACCCTCGTCTTTTGTTGTTCCAAGGAGGAGATTGTGGACACGTTTACTCCTGTTTTAAAACAAAACACAGATTCCCATTATGCAGAAACTATGGTTTGTTTAAACTACAGTTAGGAAATAAACCAGGATTAGAAACCACAGTTTCCTCCCAGCTTTCATTTTGTTTTTGGAACTTATTGGAGTTTAAACAAATCAGAGTTCCCCAAGTTTCTACATAATGGGGGACTGTGGTTTGTTTAAAACTAATATTATGGCCACAAAAGAAGCAAAACAGGAGGAGTGTGTGAGCCCAAGGCTTATCATACTTCATTCACCTAGCTGGACATCATCTGAGAAGCATTGCACTTTAGGCAATGATGTGAAAGCTGTGTCTGGCTTTTGATCTGTGTTAGTACATTCACATCTGTGAGGCATCATTTGATCAAGTGATTAACAGGCATGTGTACAGCAGCCCACAGCATGTAGATCTTGCCTCAGAGTACAGAATATAGAAACTATTCCTTCTGTTGGGACTGGAACAATGCTAGCTTGTCTCATCAATACCTGGAACCAATGGGGCTCTTTCCATTAAAGCCCATTTACATCAAAAGACAACTGTCCTATTGACTCCCATGGGGTTAGGATATGATCCTTTTGTGAATGAAATCCTTTACTTGCTTTGCTATATTGCACAGCATTTCTCTCAAGGTGTGACCATCACTTTTCTGACAAGCTAGGCTGCTCTGGTTGTGGTGAATAAATGCACTTTCTAGTTCAGTGTTAATCAGTGTAATACAGATGTTTTGTACATTGCAAAGGTTGCTGCCAAACATTTTAAGGATATATGTTAAACCTCTTTTTAAAAATAAATAAAAAGAAGCTAGTATTAATGTATAACTGGAATGTTTGGAGCTGATGTTTGTATGGACAGAATTTTTGCGTTACTGGTAAATATTTTTTAAAAAAACAACTTGGGGTTTAGGGTATATCTGTGTTTTACATTAACTACAATATTCTTTTTGTGGCAGGTAATAAAGCCAGAAGATGGAAATAATATTTAAATATTATAATATACAGTTCAACATGTTTTTTCCTTGCTGTATCTCATGATTTGAGTTGGATAATAAATACAGATAATTATACTGGGGTTTTTTTTAATGGTAAAATTACTATGCTAGGTTTCCCTTTTCTAGTTTTCTTACAAAATCAGGCATAACACAGTCAAAACTGTCAGTGCAGTCGGTAGTGAGATAGGTGAACCAATGGTCTGCTTAATATAAGGCACTGTCCCTGTGAGCCTGTATGTGTGTTTATGAATGCACAGCCAGCCCCCTACTCTCTCTCCCCTTCCCCCCTCTCCCTCTCCCTCCTAAACAGCTGAAAGATGCTATTCAACATCTCTAGCCAAGGCTACGCATATGCAGCCCTGACCAGTGGATCAGGCTGCAAATCATTCATGCAGCATTTGTTCTCAGGTAGGATTCCCCCTGCAGCCAGGCTTATCGCGGAAGTCAGTTTCTGTGTGAGTATAGCAGGCATGCACATAGTCACGGGCAGGGGGCAGTCCCCCCCAATCAATCAAATAAATAAAAATGCTTAACTAACTGACTGATTGCATCCCAGATCACTTGGTTCTGGAGCCCCCTCCGACATAAATATTGATACACTCATGCTAGCAGGATTAAGGCAAATTACTTCAAGCCCTAAAGATGTTAAGGAGAGACTTAAATATGTACTAGACTCTCACCAGTCTAGTACATATCTAGACTGTCTAGTACAGTCTAGTACAGAAATCAGCTGAATGCGCAACAATCCTAAGCATCCTAAGTCTTAAGCGTGAAAATTCAGAAATAAGTCCCACTGTCTTCAGCGGGACAAAGGTTGAGTAAATGCACATTTGCTGAGAAGTCAGTGCCATTTCCCCCACTCCTTCAGAATTTGTGCAAAACACATCTTCGCTCTCTGCTGGGAAACAACATTCAATCTGCTTCATCTGTCCATATCAATGGTTGACTACTGGAGCTGTGAGTGTGTCTCTCATCCCAAAGGAGAGTAATTTACACATGTGCAAAGGCATGCTTTACTAAGAACCTGACTAGCAATGGGTCTGTGGATGTCTGTCAGACATGTGTCTTGTTTATCTTCAGGAGGGCAGTTCCCCCCACCCCCCACTTTAGGTGGCCAATATATACATTTATTTTCTGCTCTGCATATTCATCCATAATTTGAAGTTGACCCTCACATCCTTTTTTTTGTTTTGTTTTTTTGTTTCTCTATCGTTCTTTGGGGCTAGCAACTGTGCTGTACTTCAGGATTTTGATAATGAGTATGGTGGTGCTGTGGGTTAAACCACAGAGCCTATGACTTGCTGATCAGAAAGCCGGTGGTTCAAATCCCCGCGACGGGGTGAGCTCCCGTTGCTGGGTCCCTGCTCCTGCCAACCTAGCAGTTTGAAAGCACGTCAAAGTGCAAGTAGATAAATAGGTACTGCTCTGGTGGGAAGGTAAACGGTGTTTCCGTGCGCTGCTCTGGTTCGCCAGAAGCGGCTTAGTCATGCTGGCCACATGACTCGGAAGCTGTACGCCGGCTCCCTCGCCAAGAAAGCGAGATGAGCGCTGCAACCTCAGTCGGCTACGACTGGACCTAATGGTCAGGGGTCCCTTTACCTTTACCTGCTGGTTATACTCTGCCACATTCTGTGTTGCAGGTGCAGTACCTGGAATCACCTAGTTCAGTTTAATGAAGTTAATAAATCTCTGAACTACACCTGAAAGTAATTGCTGGGTGAATGTGAATTACATTAATTTGGCGGCAGCACTTGGTTACGATTTCTAGTTCAAGTTCAAGTGCATTCTCTTATGTCTGTTTTTTGCTCTTTTGATCCTTTAAACTTAAAGAAAATAATTGTTGGGGACAGTACATTAAACAAGCCACATACTTCTCTCTCTCTGTGTTGATGTTTTCTTAGTCATCTTAGCTATAGTTTATGCTTCAGCACCACAGCTTGTAACATTCTGAATGCTGAAAACACTTTGCCAAGAATCATTCAGGTGAACTGTGAATTGAACATAAACTGAACTAGTTCATTTTGCAAAGGGGTGGACATTGAGGTGACAACTTCAACAAAATATGGGGGAAGGCAGGTAAGCCCTTTCCCATGTAATCAATCACAAGATGTAGCGCGCATTTGAATGGCAATGCCCATCAACTTTTGGGCCCCCCGACCTCCTCAAATATTTTAGGGGGGGCCATATGAACCTCAGACTCTAGAAGTTGGCTCCTATGATGGACATGATCTGGAATTAGTTCCTTTGTGGACCTGTTGAGCTTGAATGAGATGGAGTTCCTATTTTAAATGAACTTTCCAAGCTCTTCACAGAGGGTAAATGAAAATATATTTCCATAGAGCCTGAAGATGTCTCTCTACTCAGAGCTGTGACCTATAACAAAGGGGCATAGACTCCCACACAAATTAAACAGGCTAAGGGGTAACCTACCCATTTCTGAAATTCATTAAGGAGCTACCACGACCACCTTGTTTGCTCCCAAGCTTGGAAGCAATAGTGGATGGAATTTGAAAGCAAGCAGCATTTGGTGCTACTGTTGTTGAATAGCATCGAAGAACTCTGACCAAGACTTTGTACACCAGCCTATTATGAAAACCCAGGGCTGGCCAGAAGAATAAGCTTATGCCCAATGCTTTTAATGTTGACATTTGCAAATAAAATGAGCACTTGTATTGCAACCTAGAGTCCCATACGGTCTGTGAAATGTAGCATGTGGAACACCTGCACATGTGACATGTGCGCATGTGCTTTTCTGCCTTCTGCATTTCTCCCTCCATTGAAGTGAACATGGAAGCCCTAGCAGGCGAGGGAGCTGGGTTTTTTTGTGTTGTATGCACTAGAGTCCACAAGAGATAGTTGGAGCAGAGCGTAAGAGTCTTCTATTCATACGTTCAAATAAGAGCGTAGAAAATAAAGGCCGATGACATTCTTGACCATTCCTGTCCTTGTGTTCTTTTGTTTCACATCTAGGGAAAGAACGGAAATATTTTGCCAGTTGACTATTTGAATCAATTTTTATACACAGCACTTTCAAGTGTTTCACTAGCAATGTTCTCAAAATTCCACAGCAGCCTATTTTAAATGCACATTGTCTGACCTTGCCAGAAGGGATATACATCAGTAAGAAACTAAATTTGAACAAAATGGAAACTGGCAATTTGAAGCCAGCCTTCTCATCATGTCAACCAAATTGGTTAAAAAGGCCTTCTGCAAGATGTTCTAGCAATATCAGGAAAAGAGGAAGTGGGAAATGGCCTTATAATTTGTTCATCTGAAATGATTAGCAAATCTAGTAGCAGCAGGGCATACCAAATAGGAAGCCTTTGTCACAATTTAACAGATACTTGTTACTACATCAGCAGCTCAGTGAGGGACAAAATGCCAATTGGGAGCTCTCTGGAAGGATGAATTAGCAGTTTGAGGGGCAATTTTTGTCAGGACTGTGACAAGAAAAGGGGGGAGGATTAATCCTGAGCTTTATCAGCCTAGACACACACACACAGAGAGAGAGAGAGAGAGAGAGAGAGAGAGCGCTACTTTTTAAAAAATTTAAGAAGCCAGGCATGTTAAATGCAGTCACATATTTAATGTATCATCTATTTTGGTCCTTGTTAATGTTTCCCATCTTTCTATGACGGTATGTTTATGGGCAAGAGATCTTGGGTGGATCTACACACAGGAAAAAATGCTATAAAGAAGTCAGAAATTAAATCATTACCAAAAAAAGAAAAAAAATTGCTATGGGAAATTTCAAAGAAATTTGTTTTCATCTCCAGCACCATCTAGTATTGCGTGTTTATAACATATTCAAAATGCTGTTTTTTGACTAATGCGGCTGATTCCTTGATTTGATTCAGTTAGGATTTAAAGGTGAACCTAGCTAATTCACACTTTCTGAAACAATACGCAGACTAAAACTCAACCATGCTTTGAACTGTAAATTTTGTGATGCAGTTTTCCAGCCAAATAATGCATGCAGAAAAATGCATGTAGTAGTGAAATTAACAAACCAAAATGTGTTACATTAGGGGAGATCGCTTTGCAAAAAAAAAAAAAAAGTGTGCATTAGGAAAAATTGCATTCAAGGAGGTATATGTTAGGATAAATCCGTACCAAAATGCTGATGAATTTTCACGAAGACCTTTTTTAAAAAAATCAGTTGTGAAAACATGAAAAAATCAACTTAATATTGGGAAAACGAGAAACACAGAGAAATTGAAATTGGCAGAATCACCCATCATTAATTGTGGATAATCCCTTTACTCCTTAGACTCAAGCTGTGTAGCCAAGGTTCCTTAGCTACTGTTAACCAGGCCTCTCTGTTGTTATCGATGGGGCTCTTAAATATAACTGACTGGACGTCTGCAGTGCTTAGGAATGGTTTAGTTTACTGGAATGGAGGTAAAGAGTGTTATGTTCTTCTCTCTAAGGTTCAAGAGCAACTCAACAAATAGCAGAACAGCTGAAATCTACATGTGGAAACAGGTTCTTTCTGCATATAGCTCTATTTTACCAGCCATGCAAAAGCTACCTGTGACATGTGTGTGTGTGTGTGCATGTGCACGTGTTTGGGTTCAGTGTGTTGTGGTGGAGTCTACATTTTGCAGTTGATGGCGCGAACCAAGTGCAACACTCTAAACAGGGGAGCACAAGTCTCTCAATAGTCAGTCCCGCAAGAATACAAGAAAATCAGCATGATGGTGAGGCAAATAACCCCCTGAAATAGATAATATAGGCAGCCATCCATCTGGCGCTCTCTGCTTGAGTGCTAATGTGGATAACAATGTCACTCTTGCTATGGAGAGTGGGCCTCAGTCAACTGTTGAATGTCTTCAGCAACACACTTTTGTGGAGGGATGTGTTTGTGAAAAGCTGCCTTGGTGGTGGGCAGGATAGAAAAGTACCTGAAGGCTTGCAACTGCTGAGGGAACATTTCAAGGTTTTTTTTACACAATAGAAAAATGAGGCAGTTGATTAGCAAGACAATTGCTGAGGGAACATAAGAACAAGTTTGGCAAATAAAATAATGTATAGGCTCACTTATACACAAACTGAAATTGTCCTTCTCACTTCAG